ACGGAGGGCTTTGGCCTCAGCGACTTCTGCCAGGAGCGCTGTGCCTAGTGACACGTCCGTGCCCTAACTTACTGACTGGTGATCAGAACCTAAGGGGGGTAACTCTAGTTGATTTTATTACTGGGGTGTAACCTATGTACAAGTGGGATATATATATGGTTACAGCAAAGACGGGTCCGCAATTGGCAGAGCCGAACGGAGCAGAGCTAACGGGGTTAAACATTAGCCGACTGAATATTACCGACGAGTTGGGTCACGGGGTTAGCGGAGAGGCAGGCGATAACCCAGAAATGGAAAGGAGGGATAGGCCCGAAGGTGGGCTCTGCAGGGCAGGCGAGTGTATTGCCCAGCGGAGGTGGGAGTGCGCTAGCGGACGTCGGAGCTGTCCGGAAGTCTTCGGGGCTCCGTACTTAGGGAGGCGTAGGTAATAAATTGAAATGAGGGGGTGGTGACCATCGAGGGGTACCCAGAGGATTGCGGAATATGGGAGCTCTGAGGTTAGTGAAGAGGGAGCGGAGTTAGTCCGGGGGGAACGGAGGGACCGGAAGTCAATGGCCGGGGATGGATATGACACACGGTATGGTTGAGTGTCAGTAGGTCTTCTAGTCAATTACTGACAGGTTTTACTACAGGCTCTCTGCGATCATCATTCAGGTAGGACCCTGCCACTAGGGGCCAAGATCTTGGACGAGCGCATGGTGACGGCTCAAGGTGACATCAAGCCACCACACATCCTCATCGACCCTCAGACCCTGCAGGTGAGCATCATCGATTCTGGCAGTATCAGTGCACTGCTGCATTCGTTTGTCACCTTCACACGACAACATTGCCGAGTTTTTGCCTTGGAGTCAGTTCGATAACTCTTTGGTGATGGAAGTGGCTACAGGGTTGTATCGGCCAAAACCGGACTGGGGCAAGAGTTTTGGTAAGCCATTCCATTACAAGTTGACGTTGGCTGAGAGCATTGACAAGGATGGTTCCCCAGTGCAGAAGGTGACATCTCGTCGAGTTCATTCCTTTGACCCACATCGAACATCATATTAGAGAATCACTTTGACAATGAGATAATTGCACATGATGAAACTGAATATGCCAAGGGAATGTGCTCCAAATTTGGTCTTGGGTTTGCCCCACAGAACCAGTCTAAGGAAGCTTCCGATTGAATTGTTTGGTGGTGATAGAGACCGGAGTGAGACGAAGGAGTTGTCTCTGTGGTGGAGGGCTTCGGCCTCAGCGACTCAGACCAGGAGTGCTGTGCCAAGTTACATGTCCATGCCCTAATTTACTTACTGGCAACGAGAACTAAAGGGGGATCAACTCTAGTCGATTTTATCACTGGAGTGTAACCTATCTACAAGTTAAGTATATATAGTTACATTGAGGTGGGCCCATGAATGGCAAGACCAAGCAGAGCGGAGCTAACGGAGTTAAACATTAGCCAATTGAATATTACTGATGAGTCAGGTTACAGAGTTAGCAGAGTGGCAAGCAATAACCCAGAAATGGAAAGGAGGGATAGGCCCAAAGGTAGACTTGCAGGGCAAGTGAATTGCCCAGCAGGGGCAGGAGTGCACCAGCAGATGTCGGAGCTGTCCAGAGGCCTTCAGGGCTCCATACTTAGGGAGGCGTAGGTAATATATTGAAAAGAGGGGGTGGTGACCATCGAGGGAGGTGGAGGTGATTGCAGAATATGGGAGCTCCAAGGTTAGTGAAGAAGGAGCGGAGGTAGTCTGGAAGGGTCAGAGGTAGTGGAAGATGATGGCTGTGGATGGATATGACAGGTGGCCGAATCAACAATAGCATCCTACCCATTGAATCAACTCTGAACGAGACCTGATTCATATCTGCACAGGACCATTGGAGTGGCTGCATCGCAAGTCTCAAGAACTCCATTGGCATGCCTATTCACAGTCAACTCCCAAATGTCACTTAGTGTTCGAGGTCTCACCTTGGCAGTGGGAACAGTGTAACAGGTCTATCGCCTAGACTCGAGACAGAGAGAAGGGGGAGGGTGGTAGTGTGTGTGGGTGTGGTTTGTGGGCCAGGTTCTGGTCCTGGGGCACTACTGGGTCTGCTAGAACCTCAAACAAACGCTCACCTACATCTCTCTTGGATGTCAAGGCTGAGGATTATGATGAGAGGGGTCTTAGACGTAAGCAACTAGCTCAGAGGGGGTGTTAGGGTCGTGGATGGCGTCTTTACCACTTGGATGTAACTTCTGCTTGTCCCTTCACGGGTCTATTCAGTACTAACTTGTTATGTACAAGCTATTATCTAGTTTATATGAGTTGGAAATGGAATGAATGGACTGGGGGAATGTAAACGGGCCGTTAGGCAACCATAAATGATGAATACCCAATTGGGAACAAAGAAACAATGAAGAAATATGAATGAATGGGGAATATATGATAACGGGTCCGAAATGGGAATTGTGAAAGTTAACTCCGCAACACTTCGCCACAGCGCCCGCCTATCCTCCCGTCAGCAACCTCCTCGTCTCCAGCTTTCCAACGAGCCCTTATTTGTCCCAATTGGTGCAGTGGTTCTTGAGATGTGGCCATTGACAGGTGCTGTCAAGACCACATGAGGCTATACACCATGCTGAACCATCCGAATATGGGGTTGCCATTCTGGGAAATGCTCCGTGGTTAAAGGAGGAAGGTATAGCATCACTATCGGGTAGAAAAACAGCTGGGTTGTATGTGTGGTTATGGAGGTCTGGAGAGGGGGTGAAATTGGCGGTGTGGTTGGGCGTGGGAATTTGGCTTGGGACTGTCGGGAATGATGGGGAAAATAAGGAAAAATAGGGAATGGGTGTATGGAGTGTTTGATAGTGTGGGGACGAGCAATGGAAGCGTCAGAGGGTATGTGGTGTATGTTGGTGGGCAAATTCTGCAGAATCCGACTTTTTGCAGTACACAGAGTTGTCCCCACAACAACGGCCTGATTGTCCCACATACTCTTTTGCTAGACAGGTCTTCCCTCTGAATAGCTCAGAAAATTGCCCTTGTTTGACCTCCCTCCAGACTAAATGCTGTGAGATACCACTATGGCTGGAATTGCCTGATTCTCGTGGTGGAGTTGGTTGGCTGTTGCTGAAATCACAGTCCTCCGATGGGTCCAAGAAAACAATGCCCATCTTGGCTTCACAGATGTGCCATCCTGGAATTTCTCGCTTTATAGCACCTTGACAGCTTGTAATTTATTCTTCGCTCATCATGCTTGTAAGACTGTTTTCTGTGCTTCAACCTGCACTTTGACACTGTCCGTATGCTGCATCTATCTTCAAGCTGGTGTTATCACCTCATTGCTACACCTTCAGCAATGTGCACCCAGCTCTCCTTGTGGCTGGGTGATCTCACATCATAGAGACACAAGAAGATGATAAGATGGGAAACCTCCTAGCTAATGGACAGTTGTTGGCCAAACACGATGGATTCAGTTTGTTCCACATCTATCTGGTTGCATGGTCTACATGCCTCGTTCTCAACACATTCAAATGACCCCAAGTGGGGCCTACCATAGATCTACACATCTGCATGATTCTCCTCTTTGATTCTGAAGCTTCGCTGCTAGATCCACTCACTCTCACTCAAATTTTGCTCTTACCATGTGCACGTCTTCATGATGCTGTCAGAAACTGTATTCGAGGTGATCATGGGAAGTGGAGCGGAGTACGGCAGCATGAGTGGTCACTTAGCTAATGAGCTACTCTGTTGCAAGGCATTGTGGGGGTTGGGACTTTGGCTTCAACAACTTGGCTAGAGCGTTGCGCCATGCATTCTAGGCTGTCCCGTATTTCAAGTTAGCAGGTGGTACCTTGCAGCAACGTTGACTTAAGTGGAGATGGGACTGAGAGGCAAACTTAAGGTGAGAGTACTTGGGGGGGAATTCTAGTCGATATTCGAACTGAAGTACATTGACAGTAAACTACAAGTATAAATACAAAAGGAGAACAGAGAAGGGGCTGGTCAGTCCGGCACGGGATGGGAGTGGGATGGCAAGTACTAAAAGAATGATGAGGACCAGGGAAATGGAACAGAAGAAATGGATGGGACAGAGGACGGCAAAGTTGGGAGGCAGAATGGATAGCCCGACAATCTAGGCACCAATATGGTGGTGGATCAGAATGTCAATATACGAATAAATCAAATGTCAATAAAGGAACAACCAAGTGTCAATAAAGGAATAAACCAAATGTCAATAAGGAGCAGATCAGCGGCGACAACGTCGACTGCTAGTAAGTTAAGCAAATGAATAAGAATAAAACGGTATCGGCCGAATGGCTGAGGAGCTCAAGTAGTGGTGGGAGAAAGAAGGAGGCGCTGCTACAGGGCCATAGATGGGAACCACTATCGGCGCTGCTAAATGACAGAAGTGGTAGAAGGGTGGGGACTTTGCGGGGCCATGACAGATGCAGACATTACTGACCAGGTAAGTTGATTTGTTGGTTGAGTAGATGATAATGTATCACTATAGCCCCATGACTGACTGTCTGGCACAATTGGTCTTTATTCTGGCTGGACACATCGAAGATTTCGAGGTTTATTTACACATGCAGATGGAATCTGTGGGGTTTTGATTCCGATACTTGGGGGCATTTGTCATTCTCTCAATGCTCTAGGCCTGATCAATTCGTTTATCCTTGCACTCACCCTTGGCTCAGTGGTGTCAATGTCCAATAATAGTAAGTCACCTGTTTTTCTGTGGTCTGCATTGTGCTACTCACAGATCTCTTGGCCCTTGATGCAGTTGTCACTTTTCAGCAGCAACCCGATTCCCAGACAATGGGAATTGGACAGGAGAACATGGCAAGGCATGCAGCTGTGCAGGCAGGGGGGAAAGTGATGATGAACACTGGCAAGATTACGATTTCACTCAACAAGTTCAATATGTGTTCACACATAAGCTTAAAATTCAACATATATATCCGGGGGCACTAGAACATCGTTATTGATATCATACTTGAACAATTTTAGAGTTGCAAATGTAAAGATGTGCATAAAATAAATAGACAATGCGAAATCCTATACAAAAGTGAAACACTAAAGCAGTCGATCTTGGGGACTATCAGATGTTTCAGAAGAAGAATCATCTGATGATATGTCACAGGGAGAAGAAGTGTCAGATGCAGTGCTGCAAGGAGAATAATCGTTAGGCACTGGGAAATCATAGTCAAGCATGGCACTCGGATACCAGGCAGCTTGGCCAATATCGACAACAATGGGAGCTTTCATCTTGCCCTGAAGCAGAAACCGAGTACCATCCTTGCTGGACTGAGGATGGTAGAAATCATTGATATAATTGATCAGTCGATCACCATACCAGGGCTGTATGCCATTGGTGCTGTTTGCCTTGACAGAAACCATGCGATACTCCTGTGGGACAGCAAGTTGTGACCTGCCATTGAACCACACTCCTAGCCAGATAGGGGAAGCATGATAGACTAGTGGGGTCCTTCCTGCAGCAAATGAATAGCCCCTTTCATGTTTTGGGAAGTGATGGAAAAATGGACACTTGATCCAAACCTCATCCAACTCTGGCCCTGCATCTACCCAGGAACAATGTGCATAGACTGTGTCACCTGCCAACAGAAGAGTGGGTTGAGTAGATACTGGATGAGGGATGTGATATGGGCAAGTAGGAGCCATGCCAGTATTTATAATCCAAGATTTGTCTCCCCGTATGTCATAATGTGCAATAAAATCACCTAATTCTGTCGACCAGGTGAAAGCGCTGTGCCCATCAAAGGCAGCAATATATCGTGCCCCTGGAGAAAATGCAACTGTGTGACGCTCAGGAAAGGCTGGCTCAGCATTGGATTGGAGGGATGGAATGGAAGGAGGAGAGGCAAGGAGCTGAATGTGTGGGTCACCTAAAATGTAGATACATGCCACATTGTTGTACCAAGGCTTTCCAGGATCCCGTAGGACTCGTATGATGAGCAATCCACTATCTGAGACTGCAGTTACAACAGGATAGGCACCTATAGGGAGAGTGCCAAGTTTCACAGGGAGCATACCATGGCTATAGATAGTGATGTTCCCATTGACATCCTCAGTAGCAACATGATGACCACCATGGATAAACTCAATCCATGCTGGTGGACTGGGTGGATGATTCTGGAACTGAGAGATTGTATGCTGATCATCAATATCAGCAATCTCAATCACACCACTACCAAACCCAAGTGCAATGTATCGACCATCTCTTGAGAGTGCTGCACATGTCACAATGCCATTACGGACATCAGGTTCATGGAATTCAGCTTCGTAATTGATCTCTTTAACACCCCACTTGTTAACCTTGTTTGGTAAACCATCTAATTTTGCCTCCATAAGCATTTGGGCATTAAGTGAAGCCTCACTCAATGGAATCAAGTGGTTCAAAATCTTGCCAGAAATGCCAAAGATTTGAACAGGGTCAGAGAGGTGGCCATATAGTTTATAAAGAGACGATTTGGGTGGGCAGAAAAGAGACATAGATCGATGAAGCAACCATTTACGGACCCCATGCATCGCTGCACCTTCTCGGAAGAGTTCAATTCCATTGTGATTCTGTCAAAAGTGATGTTCAAACAAACATAATATGAACCCACTCAGACTTACATCAAATTCATAAAATCTTGGTGGCACGAAAGGGACCCCTCCCATGTGCCGGAATGTAAGGAAGTTTTGTGTGAGGAAGGAATTGAACTCATTCTGCAATTCATTGTCATTGGACTCTCGTGAAAAGAGTCGTGCAGGGTCCAGGTGGTCAAGTACATTGCCAATGACATACTGGATGTGTTTGGGTTGATCCCGGAAGGGTGTAAAATCAACCCATTTGTCTTTGTCACTGAGAGGGGGATTAGTGGGTATCCCAAATTCATTCCGCTTGCAACAATTATTGAAAATTCGAAGGAGTAGCGGTCCGAGAAAATATCCTTTCTTGTCATTGATAAAAAATACTCTGTCATTTTCGTTACCAATCGGATTTCCCATTATGAATTCTTGCACTGTGGCATGATAGAAGTTGACACCTTTCGTATCCTCCAAGGGAAGTTCAATGATTGAGCTGATCGGTTCCAATATGGCATGGGCCTCATCCGTGGCAATTCCTAAAAGCTGCGACATAGAATACACACTGAGTGATTCATATGCCGCGATAATCGTGCCAACCAATAGGCGATACATTTTGGCTATATCCAGGGGAACTGCAGATGAGCCACGCATGTAGGCTTTTCGGAGTATTCGCAAGTACTCCGAGTTGAGATCGATGGGTGCATCAGGATTGAGCAAGCCCTGGAACTCCATTTTCAAGGTGCGGCCATGCCCGGTCCACCACATGACATCACGGATTCGGATTGAGGCCATAGCAGGCAATTCACGACAAGCCAAAGTAAAAGCATTGAGGTCTTCCTCCGAAGGTTTCCACCGAGATTTCCTGATACGATCTCGAAGGCCATCCTCCACCATGCAACGGATCGTGTGATACTTGTCCTCCTTCGTAATTTTATCCACATCTTCATATGGTATGACAAGGCCCCGTTCCCGAGCTTCATCCCAAGCCGACACAACCAACGACTCAGGACGACAGCTAACGAATACTGCAAACGTGGCTGGCAGCTCTTCAAGGATAAGGACAAGCTCCATCAGACGTTCGAGTGCCTCTAGATCTCCACACTCATCCAAGCCATCTAAGACGATGACGAGGCGATCTTTTCCAGAAGGCAATATCTCCATTAGATTACGCATAGGCTCGATAACAAGAGCCTTCATTTGCTTTTCCAGAGACAGATGCTGAGGCAGTTGCAGATCTTGCTGCCGAAGGCACCTGACAAGTGACATCATGAACTCCCTATCGAAGCATGCGAGTTGATGTGCCAGCGTGGAAGGGAACAGCTCAATGGAATCAAGGCCCGTTCCGACCTGGTTTTTATCCCAAAAAAAGGATGCTGCCAGAGTGCCCTGCGCTTTGAGGGCAGATGCAATGCTCATAGCTATCGCAGTCTTCCCTGTCCCTGGGGAACCCCGTAACCAGACAAATCGGGTCTTGGTATCCTTCAGATGATGGAGTATGGAATCTTGTACTTTGACCTGTGTGGTTGGGAGGCATTCGGACTTGCTCTTCACGTAAGTGTGTTCGGCAGGCACTCGCTTGAGTTTTGATAGCTCCGCTGAAAGCGTGTCAGCAAGGGTGTCCAAAAGCGCGCACATAAAAACGTACATTCCACCGATGCTCGAATTGTCTGCATCAGGGTTAAAATCGACGCCTCCGTCTGTCGAGTCCTTCAGTCAGCTAACACCCAACACTCGAAAGAGAAAGCGAACAGACCGAGACCGAAGTAATAGCCTTATTGATGCACGCCTTCACATCACTTATATCCTTGGTGATATTTGACGCCGTCACCATTCTCTTGAAGAGCCCTCGATGCTTGAGGAATTCGATACGGTTGATCTGTTCTTCCAATGCACTAGGAAGAAGCTCTGAGATTCTCCGAGTGACCAAGGGAGTAGTATGCAACGTACCAGTGAAATTCTTTGAGTGGAGCAATCAATTCGGGAGGGACAGTTTGACCGGCATACAGTTCGAGTGGCCGCAGGATGGCAGTGTAAGCCTTTCGGACCTCGTCATTAAGGCCCTTAAGGCTTTCGTTATTGCTGTCAACGGTCTGTGTGGGTGAGAAAAAAATGTGTCACCCTATCACTGATCGATCACGAAACCAAACTGCTACACGAACCTCGTAAGCTTGGAGCAACGTCAGAAGGAGGTCCAGGATTTGGCTGACATATGGAATAGGAGATATCTTGAGAGCAGAGGATGCGGTTTGGAGTAGGAGCTTTGTGGCGCTGAGAACCGTTTTCTTTCGATCACCATCTGGGATGGCTGACGACGAAGACGCTGGTTCCGGGGGAGGAGGTGCAACAATGGCCATACCTGGGTGCTCGCTCTGTGCATTGAGGATTGCATTGGGGCCATGAATGGGATATGTTATGGGCGCCGAGTGCAGGTTGTCAACACTCCGCCGAGGGCGGAATAGCGGCGGCTCCCAACCACCAAGGGCTGAAAGATCGGGTGTGGTTGGCGTAGACTCTGGGGGATTCGGTGAGTCCAATAGGTTGGAATGAGGATTTCCTCTAGGGTCGCTCGTTAAACGGCGCCCTGGAGACATCCGTCGTTTCGAATCTCGGGATCTGCTGGGGGAACGCGACGTAGATGGGACCCCGGGAGGCTGAAGATTGGGACCTCCCGATCTATCACGTTGAACATAGCTGGTGTCGTCATGGATTTGGTCTGTCCGAACTCTTGTGAAATGAATCTGGGGAAGTGAGGAAGTGGAGGGTTGTGATGACTGCGAATCACCAGAAGTCGGCGCAAAGGTGGGATGTTGAGACGAGGGTTTTCTCTTGGGAGCCATAACACCAGCGCAGATCGTGATCGAAGCAGGAGGTGAGAGAGGAAAAGCCCGGACAGCTTGCTCAACCGCGTCCTACCCGATATAAGTCAAAGGCAGCAGATAGGCGCCGATGCAAATCCAATTGGGAGAACAAAGGGTTATTTGATGCTTCCCCTTTTGGAAATAGGACATCTCTAGTCGAAGCAAGGCGCATGCATTGGCCACGAAATTGTGGTAATGAAGGGTTGAAACAGGACATGAAGCTGATGTATCTACGATAAGGTGCGGTATACTTAATTTAGGTCGGCAATTTCGAATTGTGGCAAAAGGTAAAAGTAACCTTCAGAGGCATGGACCACTATGATACTTGTTTAGCGATGAACAATGAGATGTCCGATACTTCCACGGAAACAATCTACAGAACCAGCAGCTCACTTGTCCAGGTACATGCGAACGGGAGCGTTTTGTGGACCCAGAGATTCAACGTGGGAAAATAGAGCCCCATCGTTGACATTTGGCGATTCAGGTGTGTCAAATGCTAGCCAATTATCCTCTGACGTTGATTATTGGATGCGCGCGATCCATTTACATCTTGAACTGAAGCGGAAGATTTGGATTGACAGGTAGGGTGAGCGCGAAAGTAGGCTCGAGACTCTGGACATGTCGCAATTCATCTGAACTACTCGCACAAGTAAGGCGAAAGGAAGGGTTGGCAGCAGATAGACCTGCCAAGTGAGTGCAAAATTCTGTTGCGGCACTCTTCCTCATTGGGGGGTTGATTATTGGGCCCTCGGCGAAAGATACAAAACGGGGTGAGGATATCGAACTCTTTTCAGGGTCAGCTGCGGAACATAAATCGTATATCAAGATGGACCTACATTAAAGGGAAGCGTGCTCGGAGGAAGGTGCGAGTTGGAAGCCGTGGGATTGGGATGAGTCTGGAGGTCTTCAAGACCTTTGGATGGCGATAGAAGTCTCGGGAGAAGAGAAAGAATTAATTGAACCGTAAAATGGAATATGGCCACATGTCATCACGCCACGCATCGAGTGCTGCCAAAGGGGAATTGAGGCAATGGAAAGATATATAAGCTGGCGGAATTTCCCCTACCTGAGCCCCACAACATCACCCGCATAGCCCACAACCTGACACACGAACGGACCCACTGGAAACTCAAGGGGTTTAGGATATAGCCAACCTGAAGGATCTCATTATCGAGCATCGATGGACATTTTTGCTTGCACTCTCATCGGATGTATTGAGCAACAAGGGGAAAAAAAGGAAGTCCGGATATCGGCACCTGCCGCTTCCTCTCTCGTGGTGGCATGGAACGATAATGGCTAGGCAGGTGACCAGCCTCTCTTTAAGGGGAAGAGAGATAATGGCCAACGTAGCTGTCCAGTGTTATTCTTGATAATGCGTTTTCATGGCGTGCTCTCGTTCTGGTATCGTGTCAAGCTCCCGACACATGGATAGCATCTGGGATTATTTCTACCCTGCTTGATTTCCTCAAAACATGATGTCATCTAGCGGCTGATAGCCCGGTCGGGCGCGTCTCAGTGCCACCGGTGTGGAGTTGAACGAGGTCGGTACTAAGCCGGATGTCAGGGGGACATTAAGCCACCTGCGGCCTTCCTAACATGTTGGACTTGGTTGGCTACATAACTAAGTACTCCGCTAAAAAAAGGCTTCTACCAGGATTGACAAATCTTTGGGGCGTCGTTGATTTCGACCTTGACCCAGGCGCTTCAGTTTGAGCAACATCTCCAAACATTCTTCAGAAGTGGAAGTGTCCTGCAAGCGCCAACAATTAAAAAGGATTTCGCAGGCCACCATGGAGCCGATAGTGTTGCACGGCACACATACATACATCTGACACACAGGAGCTTTCGATTGCGAACAGGATCCGTTTCGTCATCGATTCAGAGCGAATACGTCTATGCAAATTCATCTGTGCAATCGATGCATCCTACGTCATTAACAAGCTCCGGCCTCCATCGTGCGCGTGGCTGGATGCTAGGACCAAAACGGAACTCAGCCCAGCGCTTCCACGGAGAGGAGGCAGGATGCTACGTCCCCTTTTCTTTTAGACGCATAAAGTATTCAATTTCACGCATATTGATTCCCCAGCGTCTCTCATTTAATTTACCCTTTGCGCCCATGGAGTCCCACATGTCACGCCCCATCTGTGTGAACTATTCCCGCCTCGAAGCTGTTGCCGTTCAACGCGCCATGCAGGATCCCTCTGCGTTTCGTATCCTCTTATTCGATGATTGTGTCGTTAAATTCAATGACTCCATAACGAAGCTGATACCCAGGCGTTCGTCTACGCGGCAGCATTTAAAAGCCCTTCGAATGCACCACGCGTTCAAGATGTTTTCGGGTACTTCTGTCGGGGCCATATGTGTCCAGTATCATTTGTGTAATGGAGCCCGTCAACCTTCCAACCAAGATCGAGTAGGTCAATGACACCACCAATGAGGCTGAGGTGCAGTCCCGCTTATTGTCGGGCGGTTGCTGACACCCTCAGCTGGCTCTTCGAGCTCCCTCCTCCAGCCGGTGCAGAGATTCGTCTAATCGATCGAAGGAACGCACGCTCACACGCAAAGTCGCAAAGTCCCACCCGTTCGTACGGAAAGCGGCCATCCCATCCCTTTTTCGGCAACTCCAACTCGCCATTTCGCTACACTGACGCGCCTGCCCTAGAGCGACATATAAACACGGTATGATTGAGTGGAAGTAGGTCTTCTAGTCGATTACTGACAGGTTTCACTACAGCGATCATCGTTCGGGTAGGACCCTGCCACTAGGGGCCAAGATCTTGGACGAGCGCGTGGTGATGGCTCAAGGTGACATCAAGCCGCCAAACTTCCTCATCGACCCTCACCCCCTGCAGGCGACCATCATCGATTTTGGCGGTATCAGCGCACTGCCGCATTCGTTTGTCAGCTTTCACACTACCACATTGCCGAGTTTTTGAGTCCGATAACTTTTTGGCGGTGGAAGCAGCTACAGGGTTGTATTGGCCATAACCCAAGAGTTTTTGGTAAGTCATTCCTATGGCTAACGTTAGATTACGAGTTGACGTTGGCATAGACAAGGATGGTTTCCCGGTGCAGAAGAAGGTGGCGTCTCGTTGAGTTCAATAGAACGTATTAGACCACCGCTTCAATAATGAGATAATGAAAACCATATGTGCGATGTTGGGGAACAAGCCTCCGATTGAATTCTTCGGGTGGCTGATCTTCGTTCGAAGCTGAGGACAGTCCCCTCGGCTTCTGCGAGGAGCCTCATACCCGGCCTGGCCCCGACGTTCGTGCCTTCCGTGGGCACATCTTAACCCTGGTGAGGGGGGATTCACTCTCAATGAGACCTGCTCCATATTCATACAGGACCATTGCCCCAAGTAGAGTGGCTGCATCGTAAGTCTCAAGAACACCGTCGGCATGTGTATTCACAGTCAACTGCCAAATGTTCGAGGTCACTGCCTCGGCGGCGGGGAACGGCATGATCACCCCTCAGGCTCTTTTACTGGACGGGCCCCCCTCTGATTCGCTCAGAAAACCGCCCCTGTTAGACCTCCCCTCAGACCAAATGCTGAGAGATACCACTGGCTAGAATCACTTGATTCTCGTGGTGGAGTGGGTTGGCTGTTCCCGGATGGGTCCGAGAAAGCAATGCCCATCTGATGGCCTTTGGCTTCGCGGATGTGCTATCCTGGAATGTTGACATTTCTCGCTCTATATCTCTTTTTGTGCCTTGACAGCTTATAATTTGTTCCTCGCTCATCATGCTCGTAAAACTATTTTGTGTGCTTCAACCTGCACTTCAACATTGTCGCATCTATGTATCTTCAAGCTGGTGCTATCCCCTCGTCTTCCCCCATCCTCAGCTTTCCAGGCAGCTGCATTGCAAGATCATCGCTACTCTCTCATCCACGTGTACCCAGCTCTCCTTATGGTTGGGTGAGATGTTTAAAGTTACAGATGTAAAAAACGCACATAAAATAGACATATAATGCGAACTCCTATACAGAAGCGAAACACTAAAGCAGTCGATTTTAGATGTTTCAGAAGCAGAATCGTCTGATGATGCTCTGCAAAGAGAATGATCGCTAGGAACTGGGATTTCATAGTCAAGCACAGACTCCTCTCCAGTCGCTCTCTGGTTTATCTAAAACTTCGAGGGGAGGTTTGAGTCAAGCGTGGCACTTGAATACCAGGCAGCTTGGCCAATATCGATGAGAATGGGAGCTTTCATCCGGCCCTGGAGCAGAATCCGAGTACCATCCTTGCTGGACTGAGGACAATAGAAATTGTTGATATAATTGATCAGTTGATCACCGTACCAGGGCTGTACGCCATTGGTGCTGTTTGCCATGACAGGAACTGGGCAATACTCGTCTGGGACAGCGAGTTGCGGGCCACCATTCAACCATACCTTACGGGAGGCATGGACTAGTGGGGTCCTTCCTGCAGCAATTGAATAGCCCCTTTCATCTTCTGGTAAGTGATAGAAAAATGGACGCCTGATCCAAGACTCGTCCGAGTCAGGCCCCGCGTCCACCCAGGAATGATGCCCATAGACTGTGTCACCTGCCAACGGAAGAGTGAGTCGAGTAGATACCGGATGAGGGATGTGATATGGGCAAGTAGGAGCCAAGCCAGGATTTATAATCCAAGATCTGTCTCCCTGTATGTCATAATGTGCAATAAAATCACCCGATTCCGTCGACCAGATGAAAGCGTTGTGCCCATCAAAGGCAGCAATATACCGTGCCCCTGGAGAAAATGCAACCGTGTGTCGCCCAGGAAAGGCTGGATCGGAATTGGAATGGAAGGGTTGAATGGGAGATTCGGAAGGAGGAGAGGCAAGGAGCTTAATGTGCGGGTCATCTGAAATGTATATACGCGCCATGTTGTTGTACCAAGGCTTTCCAGGATCCCGTAGGACTCGTATAATGAAGAATCCACTATCTGAGACTGCAGTTACGACAGGATAGGCACCTATGGGGAGAATGCCAAGTTTCACAGGGAGCGCACGATGGCCATAGATAGCAATGTTCCCATCGACATCCTCAGTGGCAACACGATGATGACCATGGATAAACTCAATCCATGCTGGCGGATTGGGTGGATGATTCTGGAACTGAGAGATCGTATGCTGATCATCGATATCAGCAATCTCAATAACACCACTACCAAACCCGAGTGCAATGTATCGGCCATCTCTTGAGAGTGCTGAGCACGTCACAATGCCATTACGGACATCAGGCTCACGGAGTTCAGCTTCGTAATTGATCACTTCAGCACTCCATTCTGTAACCTTCTTTGGCAATCCATCTAATTTCGCCTCCATAGACATTCGGGCATTAAGCAAAGCCTCGCTCAATGGAATGAAGTGGTTTGAAATCTTGCTGGAAGTACCAAAGATCCGAAGAGGGTCAGAGAGGTGGCCATACAGTTTATAAAAAGACGACCTGGGTGGGCAGAAAAGAGACATAGATCGATGAAGCAACCATGGATCGAGCCTATACATCGCTGCACCTTCTCGGAGGAGTTCAATTGTGTCATGTTTCTATCAAAAGTGATATTTAAATAAACGTAATACAAGCCCACTCAGACTTACATTGAATTCATCAAATCCTCTTACATCAGGGTACCCTTCCATGTGCAGGAATGTAAGCAAGTTTTGTGTAAGGAAGGAATTGAACTCGTTCTGCAATTCATCATCATTGGACTCTCGTGAAAAGAGTTGTGCAGGGTCCAGGTGGTCAAGTACGGTGAGAATGACGTATTTGATGTGATCAGGTTGGAACCCGGAGGGTTCAAAATCTGCCCATTTTTCTTTGTCACCAAGAGGGGGATTAGTGGGTATCCTAAATTCATTCCGCTTGCAACAATTATTGAAAAATCGAAGGAGTAGCGGTCCAAGAAAATATCCTTTCTTGTCCTTGATAAAAAATACTTTGTCATTTTCATTACCAATCGGACTCCCCGTTATAAATTCTTGCGCTGTGGCATGATAGAATTTAACATCTTTCCTATCCTCCGAAGGAAGTTCAATGATTGAGCTAATCGGTTCCAATGTGGCTTGGGCCTCATCCTTGGCAATTCCTAAAAGCTGCGACATAGAATACACACTCAGTGATTCATGTGCCGAACTAATCGTGCCAACCAATAGATGATACATCTTTGCTACATCGACAGGCACTGCAGATGAATCGGGCATATAGGCCCTTCGAAGTATTCGCAAGTACTCCGAGTTGAGACTGGTCGGTGGATCGGAGAGATTGAGCAGGTACTGGAACTCTGTCTGCAGGGTGCGACCATGCCGTGTCTGCGAGATGACTTCGCGAATTCGGATTGACGCCATAACAGGCAATTCACGACAAGCCAAAGTAAAAGCATCGAGATCTTCCTCCGAAGGTTTCCACCGAGATTTCTTGATGCGATCTCGAAGGCCATCCTCCACCATACAACGGATCGTGTGATATTTCTCCTCCTTCGTAATTTTATCCACATCTTCATATGGTATGACAAGGCCCCGTTCCCGAGCTTCATCCCAAGCCGACACAACCAACGACTCAGGACGACAGCTAATGAATACTGCAAACGTGGCTGGCAGCTCTTCGAGGATAAGGACAAGCTCCATCAGACGTTCGAGTGCTTCTAGATCTCCACACTCATCCAAACCATCTAAGACGATGACAAGGCGATCGTTTCCGGAAGGTAATACCTCCATCAGATTACGCATCGGCTCGATAATAAGAGCCTTCATTTGCTTATCTAGAGGCAGATGCTGAGGCAGTTGCAGATCTTGCTGCCGAAGGCACCTGACAAGTGACATCATGAATTCCCTATCGAAGCATGCGAGTTGGTGTGCCAGCGTGGAAGGGAACAGCTCAATGGAATCAAGGCCCGTTCCGACCTGGTTTTTATCCCAGAAAAAGGATGCCGCCAGAGTGTTCTGCGTCTTGAGGGTAGACGCGACGCTTTTAGCGATCGCAGTCTTCCCTGTCCCTGGGGAACCCCGTAACCAGACAAATCGGGTCTTGGTATCCTTCAGATGATGGAGTATGGAATCTTGTACCTTGACCTGTGTGGTTGGAAGGCATTCGGACTTGCTCTTTACGTAAGTGTGTTCGGCAGGCGCTCGCTTGAGTCTTGATAGCTCCGCTGAAAGCGTGTCAGCAAGGGTGTCTAAAAGCGCGCACATAAAAACGTACATTCCACCGATGCTCGAATTGTCTGCATGAGGGTTAAAATCGACGCCTCCGTCTGTCAAGTCCTTCAGTCAGCTAACACCCAACACTCGAAAAAGGAAGCGAGCGGACCGAGACCGAAGTAATGGCCTTATTGATACACGCATTGACATCACTTATATCCTTAGCGATATTTGACGCCGTCACTATTCTCTTGAAGAGCCCTTGACGTTTGAGGGATTCGATACGGTTGATCTGTTCTTCCAATGCGCTATGAAGAGGCTCTGAGATCCTCCGGGTGACCAAGGGAGAAGTATGCAACGTACCAGTGAAATTCTTTGAGTGGAGCAATCAATTCGGGAGGGACAGTTTGACCGGCATACAGTTCGAGTGGCCGCAGAATGGCAGTGTAAGCCTTTCGGACCTCGTCATTAAGGCCCTTAAGGCTTTCGTTATTGCTGTCAACGGTCTGTGTGGGTGAGAAAAAAATGTGTCACCCTATCACTGATCGATCACGAAACCAAACTGCTACGCGAACCTCGTAAGCTTGGAGCAACGTCAGAAGGAGGTCCAGGATTTGGCTGACGTATGGAATAGGAGATATCTTGAGAGCAGAGGATGCGGTTTGGAGTAGGAGCTTTGTGGCGCTGAGAACCGTTTTCTTTCGATCACCATCTTGGATGGCTGACGACGAAGACGCTGGTTCCGGGGGAGGAGGTGCAACAATGGCCATACCTGGGTGCTCTCTCTGTGCATTGGGGATTGCATTGGGGCCATGAATGGGATATGTTATGGGCGCCGAGTGCGGGTTGTCAACACTCCGCCGAGGGCGGAATAGCGGCGGCTCCCAACCACCAAGGGCTGAAAGATCGGGTGTGGTTGGCGTAGACTCTGGGAGATTCGGTGGGTCCAATAGGTTGGAATGAGGATTTCCTCTAGGATTCCTCGCTAAACGGCGCCCTGGAGACGTCCGTCGTTTCGAACCTCGGGATCTGCTGGGGGAACGTGACATAGATGGGACCCCGGGAGGCTGGAGATGGGGACCTCCCGATCTGTCACGCTGAACATAGCTGGTGTCGTCATGGACTTGGTCTGTCCGAACTCTTGTGAAACGAATCTGAAGAAGTGAGGAAGTCGAGGGTTGTGATGACTGCGAATCACTAGAAGACGGCGCAAGGGTGGGATGTTGAGACTTGGGTTTTCTTTTGGGAGCCATAGCACCAGTGTAGATGGTAATCGATGCAGGAGGTGAGGAGAGGGGAAAGCCCAGACAGCCTGCTCAGCCTGCTCAGCCACGGTCTACTTGATATATGTCAAAGGCAGCAGCTAGGCGCCCATGCGATGCAAATCCAATTGGGAGAACAAAGGGCTTCCCCTTTTGGAAACAGGACATCGCCAGTCAAAGCAAGGCGCGTGCATTGGCCACGAAATTGTGGGAATGAAGGGTTGAGTAGTACCCTCTTGGAGACAGAGCATGAAGATGTACCTACAATAAAGTGCGGTATACTTGATTCAGGCCGGCGATTTCAGAGTAAAAGTAGCCTATATAGGCATGGACCACTATGATACTTGTTTAGTGGATGTCCGATACTTCCGCGCAGCAGCTCACTTGTCACGCACATCCGGGAGCGTTTTGTGGGCCAGAGATTCAATGTGAGAAATAGAGAGCGCCCTATCGTTGACATCTGGCGATTCAGGTGCGTCAAACGCTAGCTAATCATTGCGATCCATTTACATCTTGAACTGAGAGGCGGCTTCAAATTGACAGGTAGGATGAGCACGACAGTGGGCTCGAGACGCTGATCGATCCGGACACGTTGCGGTTCATCCGAGCTGCTCATACAAGCAAGGCGAAAGGAAGGGGTGGCAGCAGACTGGCCTACCAAGTGAGTGCAAACTCAGCCAATCGGTTGGATCTTGCAAGAGATTATCTAACTCAGTCCCGGACACCAAGATTTCCCGTGCTCTAACTAAATTTGTCCCACGGCCGTGAGTGTTGGATGAGCCCACAAAAATATACATTGAGAACATAACTTGTGGACGCCACCTGTTGCGGCAAGTACCCACTACTCTTCCTCATTGGGGGGTTTAGGATTGTCGATTATTTGGGCCTTTAGGCGAAAAATGCAAAACGGTACGAGGATATCGGACTCCTTTCAGGGTCACCTGCGGAACGTAAATCGTAGATCAAGGACAAGAGATGGACCTAGATTAAAGGGAAGCGTGCTTGGAGGAAGGTGGAAGCCGTGGGGATTGGGCTGAGTTCGGAAGTCTCCAAGACCTTGGATGGCGATAGAAGTCTCGGGAGAAGGGAAATAATTGAACCACAAAAAGAGCTTATTTGCAGTTTTAGGAGTTGCAGATTTTCGAATCGGAATCCAAAGCATAGAAGATCCAAGAGCTATCAGGGACCTGGAATATAGCCACACATCACGCATAGCCTGCTTCATTTGGAGTCCTTCATGAATAGCGATATGGACTCCCAAGTAGATATGAGAATTGAAAGTAGTGTTTGCATCCACTGTCGAGTGCTGCCGAAGGAGAGTTGAAGCAATGGAGAGATAAGTCGGCGGAATTTTCCCTGCCCACGCGAGCCCCACAATATTACCCGCATAGCCCACAACCTGACAAACGAACGGACCCACTGGAAACTCAAGGGGGGAAATAGCCAACCTGAAGAATTTCATTATCGAGCATCGATGGACATTTCTGCTTGCACTCTCATCGGATGTATCGAGCAACAACGGCAAAAAAAAGGAAATCAGGTTATCGGCACCTGCCGCTTCCTCTTTGGTGGTGGCATGGAACGATAATGGCATGGCACTTTGAACGGCAACAGCTTCAAGGCGGGAATAGTTCACATAGATGGGGCGTGACATGCGGGACTCCATGGGCGCAAAGGGAAAATCAAATGAGAGACGCTGGGGAATTAATATGCGTGAAATGAAATACTTTATGCACCTAAGTTATGAAGAGAAAAGGGGACGTAGCCTCCTGGCTCTTCTCCGTGGAAGCGCTGGGCTCAATCCCGTTTTGGTCCTAGCATCCAGTGGGATGCACAACGGAGGTCAGAGCTTGTTAATGACGTGAGATGCATCGATCGTACAGATGATTTACACAAACGTACCCGTCGATCTTCGTCATAGATCTAGAGTTCGTCTCGGCCTGCATCGATGACGAAACGGATCCTGTTCGTAATCGGAAGCTCCCGTGTGTCAGATGTATGTGTGTGTGCCGTACAACACTATCGACTCCATGGTAGCCCGCGAAATCCTTAATTGTTGGCGCTGCAGGACACTTCTGAAGAGTGTCTGCTAAAACTAAAGCGCCTGGGTCAAGGTCGAAATCAACGACGCCGCAAGGATTTTCCCTCTGTTGATCCTGGTAGAAGCCCTTTTTAGCGGAGTAGTTATGTAGCCAACCAAGTCCAACATGTTAGGAAGGCCGCAGGCGGCTCAATGATAAGGATATACACAAGCGCTGTTCCCCCGACATCCAGCTTAGTACCAACTCCACACCGGTGGCACTGAGACGCGCCCGACCGGGCTATCAGCCGCTAGATGACGTCATGTTTTGAGGAAATGAAGCATGCGCATCAGGGTAGAAATAATCCCATAGAGATGCTATCAATGTGTCGGGAGCTTGACACGATACCAGAACGAGAGCGCGAGATTGGACACCATGAAAACGCATTATCAAGAGTAACCCTGGACAGCTACGTTGGCAGGATGCCTCTGCGTTTCGTATCCCCTCGTTAAATTCAATGACTCCATGGACCTCCTTAACGATACTGATACCCAGGCGTTCGTCTACGCGGCAGCATTTAAAAGCCCTTCGAATGCACCACGCGTTCCAGAGAATTACGTCGGGGCTGTGTCCAGTATCTTTTGCGTAATGGAGCGCGTCAACCTTTCAACCAAGAGTAGGTCAGTGACACCACCAGTGAGGCTGAGGTGCAGTCCCGCTTATTGTCGGGCGGTTGCTGACGCCCTCAGCTGGCTCTTCGAGCTCCCTCCTCCAGCCGGTGCAGAAATCCGTCTAATCGATCGAAGGAGCGCACGCTCACACGCAAAGTCGCAAAGTCCCGCCCGTTCGTATGGAAAGCGGCCATCCCATCCCCTTTTCGGCAACTCCAACGCGCCATTTCGCTGCACCGACGCGCCGGCCCTAGAGCGACATATAAACACGGTATGATTGAGTGTCAGTAGGTCTTCTAGTCGATTACTGACATGTTTCACTACAGCGATCATCGTTCGGGTAGGACCCTGCCACTAGGGGCCAAGATCTTGGACGAGCGCGTGGTGATGGCTCAAGGCCGCCAAACTTCCTCATCGACCCTCAGACCCTACAGGCGACCATTATCGATTTCGGTGATATCAGCGCACTGCCGCATCTGTTTGTCAGCTTCACACTACCACATTGTCGAGTTTTTGAGTCCGATAACTTTTTGGCGATGGAAGCGGCCACAGGGTTGTATTGGCCATAACCGGACCGGGACAAGAGTTTTGGTAAGTCATCCCTCTGGCTAATGGTTACGAGTTGATGTTGGCATAGGCAAGGATGGTCTCCCCTGCAGAAGAAGGCGACGTCTCATTGAGTTCAATCGAACCACCGCTTCAACAATGAAAACCATATGGGCAATGTCGGGGAACAAGCCTCCGATTGAGTTCTTCGGGTGGCTGATCTTCGTTCGAAGCTGAGGACAGTCCCCTCGGCTTCTATGAGAAGCCTCATACCCGGCCTGGCCCTGACGTTCATGCCTTCCGTGGGCACATCTTGATCCTGGTGAGGGGGGACATTCCAAATGACTCGTCGAATCAACTCTGAACGAGACCTGCTCCATATTCATACAGGACCATTGCCCCAAGTAGAGTGGCTGCATTGCAAGTCTCAAGAACACCGTCGGCATGTGTATTCACAGTCAACTGCCAAATGTCACTTAGTGTTCGAGGTCACTGCCTCGGCGGTGGGGAATGGCATGATTGCCCCACAGGCTCTTTTACTAGACGGGCCCCCCCATTTGAATAGCTCAGAAAACCGCCCCTGTTATACCTCCCCTCAGACCAAATGCTGCGAGATACCACTGTGGCTAGAATCGCTTGATTTTCGTGGTGGAGTGGGTTGGCTGTTCCCCGATGGGTCCGAGAAAGCAACGCTCATCTGATGGCTTTTGGCTTCGTGGATGTGCCGTCCTGGAAGGTTGACATTTTCTCGCTTTATACCTCTTTTTTCACCTTGACAGCTTATAATTTAGTCCTCACTCATCACGCTCGTAAAACTATGTTCTGTGCTTCAACTTGCACTTCGACATTGTCGCATCTATCTTCAACCTGGTGCTATCCCCTCGTCTTCCCCCATCCTCGCTACTCTTTCATCCACGTGTACCTAGCATTCCTTGTGGTTGGGTGAGATGTTTAAAGTTACAGATGTAAAAAACGCACATAAAATAGACACGTAATGCGAACTCCTATACAGAAGCGAAACACTAAAGCAGTCGATTTTAGATGTTTCGGAAGCAGAATCATCTGATGATGCTCTGCAAAGAGAATGATCGCTAGGAACTGGGATTTCATAGTCAAGCACAGACTCCTCTCCAGTCGCTCTCTGGTTTATCTAAAACTTCGAGGGGAGGTTTGAGTCAAGCGTGGCACTTGAATACCAGGCAGCTTGGCCAATATCGATGAGAATGGGAGCTTTCGTCCGGCCCTGGAGCAGAAACCGAGTACCATCCTTGCTGGACTGAGGACAATAGAAATTGTTGATATAATTGATCAGTTGATCACCGTACCAGGGCTGTATGCCATTGGTGCTGTTTGCCTTGACAGAAACCGGGCAATACTCTGGTGGGACAGTGAGTTGCGGGCCACCATTAAACCATACCGCTTCAGTAAGAGTATGGACTAGTGGGGTCCTTCCTGCGGCAAATGAATAGCCCCTTTCATGGTTTGGCAAGTGATGGAAAAATGGACGCTTGATCCAAGTCTCGTCCGACTCATGCCCTGCATCCACCCAGGAATGATGTGCATAAACTGTGTCACCCGCCAACGGAAGAGTGGGTCGAGTAGATACCGGATGGGGGATGTGATACAGGCAGGTAGGGGCCATGCCAGGATTTATAATCCAAGATTTGTCTCCCTGCACGTCATAATGCGCAATAAAATCACCTGATTCCGTCAACCAGGTGAAAGCGCTGTGCCCATCGAAGGCAGCAATGTATCGTGCCCCCGGAGAAAATGCAATCATATGACGCTCAGGAAAGACTGGCTCGGAATTGGATTGGGAGTATGGAATGGGAGAGTCGGAAGGAGGAGAGGCAAGGAGCTGGATGTGCGGGTCACCTAAAATATATATACGTGTCACGTTGTTGTACCAAGGCTTTCCAGGATCCCGTAGGACTCGTATGATGAACAATCCACTATCTGAGACTGCAGTTACAACGGGATAGACCCCTATGGGGAGAGTGCCAAGTTTCACAGGCAGTGTACCATGGCTATAGATAGTGATGTTCCCGTCGACATCCTCGGTAGCGACACAATGATGACCATGGATAAACTCAATCCATGCTGGTGGATTGGGTGGATGATTCTGGAACTGAGACATCGTATGCTGATCATCGATATCAGCGATCTCAATAACACCACTACCAAACCCGAGTGCAATGTATCGGCCATCTCTCGAGAGTGCTGTGCACATCACAATGCCATTACGGACATCAGGTTCACGGAATTCAGCTTCATAATTGATCACTTCACGACTCCACTTGTCAACCTTCCTTGGTAAACCATCTAATTTCGCCTCTATAAGCATTTGGGCATTAAGCGAAGCCTCGCTCAATGGAATCAAGTGGTTCGAAATCTTGCTGGAAGTACCAAAGATCCGAAGAGCATCAGAGAGGTGGCCATATAGTTTATAAAAAGACGATTTGGGAGGGCAGAAAAGAGACATAGATCGATGAAGCAACCATGGATCGACCATAAACATCGCCGCACCTTCTTGAAGGAGTTCCATTACATCATGTTTCTATCAAAAGCGATATTTAAGTAAACGTAATATGAGCCCACTCAGACTTACATTAAATTCATCAAGTCCTGTTGGCACGTCAATGTTCCCTCTCAGGTGCAGGAATGTAAGCAAGTTTTGCGTAAGGAAGGAATTGAACTCGTTTTGCGATTCATTGTCATTGGACTCTTGGGAAAAGAGTCGTGCAGGGTCCAGGTGGTCGAGTGCATAGTAAATGATGTATTGGATGTGTTTGGGTTGAACCTCGTAGGGTTTAAAATCTGCCCATTTTTCTTTGTCACTGAGAGGGGGATTAGTGGGTATCCCAAATTCATTCCGCTTGCAACAATTGTTGAAAAATCGAAGGAGTAGCGGTCCGAGAAAATATCCTTTCTTGTCCTTGATAAAAAATACTTTGTTATTTTCATTACCAATCGGACTCCCCGTTATGAATTCTTGCACTGTGGCGTGATAGAATTTAACACCTTCTGTATCCTCGGAGGGAAGTTCAATGATTGAGCTGATCGGTTCCAATGCAGCTTGGGCCTCATCCTTGGCAATTCCTAAAAGTTGCGACATAGAATACACACTCAGTGGTTCATGTACTGCGGTAATCGTGCCAACCAATAGGCGATACATTTTGGCTACATCCAGGGGAACTGCAGATGAACCGCGCATGTAAGCTCTTCGGAGTATTCGCAAGTACTCCCAGTTGAGATCGATGGGTGGATCGGAGAGATTAAGCAGGTACTGGAACTCCCTCTGCAGGGTGCGACCTTGCCGTGTCTGCGAGATGACTTCGCGAATTCGAACCGAGGCCATAACAGGCAATTCACGACAAGCCAAAGTAAAAGCATGGAGATCTTCCTCCGAAGGTTTCCACCGAGATTTCTTGATACGATCTCGAAGGCCATCCTCCACCATACAACGGATCGTGTGATACTTCTCCTCCTTCGTAATTATATCCACATCTTCACATGGTATGACAAGGCCCCGTTTCCGAGCTTCATCCCAAGCCGACACAACCAATGACTCAGGACGACAGCTGACGAATACTGTAAAGGTGGCTGGCAGCTCTTCGAGGATAAGGACGAGCTCCATCAGACGTTCGAGTGCTTCTAGATCTCCACACTCATCCAAGCCATCTAAGACGATGACAAGGCGATCCTTTCCGGAAGGTAATACCTCCATCAGATTACGCATTGGCTCGATAACAAGAGCCTTCATTTGCTTATCTAGAGGCAGATGCTGAGGCAGTTGCAGATCTTGCTGTCGAAGGCACCTGACAAGTGACATCATGAACTCCCTATCGAAGCATGCGAGTTGGTGTGCCAGCGTGGAAGGAAACAGCTCAATGGAATCAAGGCCTGTTCCGACCTGGTTTTTATCCCAAAAAAAGGATGCTGCCAGAGTGTTCTGTGCCTTGAGGGTAGACGCGACGCTTTTAGCTATCGCAGTCTTCCCTGTCCCCGGCGGGCCCCGTAACCAGACAAATCGGGTCTCGGTATCCTTTAGATGACGGAGTATGGAATCTTGTACCTTGACCTGTGTGGTTGGAAGGCATTCGGACTTGCTCTTTACGTAAGTGTGTTCGGCAGGCGCTCGCTTGAGTCTTGATAGCTCCGCTGAAAGCGTGTCAGCAAGGGTGTCTAAAAGCGCGCACATAAAAACGTACATGTCACCGATGCTCGAATTGTCTGCATGAGGGTTAAAATCGACGCCTCCGTCTGTCAAGTCCTTCAGTCAGCTAACACCCAACACTCGAAAAAGGAAGCGAGCGGACCGAGACCGAAGTAATAGCCTTATTGATACACGCATTGACATCACTTATATCCTTGGCGATATTTGACGCCGTCACCATTCTCTTGAAGAGCCCTCGATGCTTGAGGAATTCGATACGGTTGATCTGTTCTTCCAATGAACTAGGAAGAAGCTCTGAGATCCTCCGAGTGACCGAGGGAGGAGTATGCAACGTACCAGTGAAATTCTTTAAGTGGAGCAATCAATTCGGGAGGGACAGTTTGACCGGCATACAGTTCGAGTGGCCGCAGAATGGCAGTGTAAGCCTTTCTGACCTCGTCATTAAGGCCCTTAAGGCTTTCGTTGTTGCTGTCAACGGTCTGTGTGGGTGAGAAAAAAATGTGTCACCCGATCACTGATCAACCACAAAACCAAAATGCTATGCGAACCTCGTAGGCTTGGAGCAACGTCAGAAGGAGGTCCAGGATTTGGCTGACATATGGAATAGGGGATATCTTGAGAGCAGAGGATGCGGTTTGGAGTAGGAGCTTTGTAGCGCTGAGAGCCGTTTTCTTTCGATCACCAGCTGGGACGGCCGACGATGCTGGTTTCGGGGGAGGAGGCGAGTCCATACCTGGGTGCTCTCTCTCTGTGTGTGCATTGAGGATTGCATCGGGGTCATGAATGAGATATGTTATGGGCGCCGAGCGCGGATTGTCAATACTCCGCAGAGGGCGGAGTAGCGGTGGCTCCCAGCCACGAAGGGTTGAAAGATCGGGTGTGGTTGGCGTAGACTCTGGGAGATTCGGTGGGTCCAATAGGTTGGAATGAGGATTTCCTCTAGGATCCCTCATTAAACGGCGCCCCGGAGACGTCCGTCGTTTCGAACCTCGGGATCTGCTGGGGGAACGTGACGTAGATGGGACCCCGGGAGGCTGAAGATTGGGACCTCCCGATCTATCACGTTGAACATAGCTGGTGTCGTCATGGTCTCGGTCTATCCGAACTCTTGTAAAACGAATCTGGGGAAGTGAGGAAGTGGAGGGTTGTGATGACTGCGAATCACCAGAAGACGGCGCGAGGATGGGATTTTGAGACGAGGGTTTTCTTTTGGGAGCCATAGCACTAGCGTAGATGCAAGAGAGGAAAGCCCGGACAGCCTGCTCAGCCGTGGCCTACTTGATATATGTCAAAAGCAACAGCTAGGCGCTCACACGATGCAAATCCAATTGGGAGAACAAAGAGCTATCAGATATTTCCACTTTTGGAAACAGGACATCGCTAGTCGAAGCAAGGCGCGTGCATTGGCCACGAAATTGTGGGAATGAATGGTTGAGTAGTACCCTCTGGGAGACAGAGCATAAAGATGTACCTACGATAAAGTGCGGTATACTTGATTCAGGCCGGCGATTTCGTTGCAAAAGAGTAAAAGCAGCCTATATAGGCATGGACCACTATGATACTTGTTTAGTGGATGTCCGATACTTCTGCGGAAGCAACCAGCAGCTCACTTGTCACGCACATCCGGGAGCGTTTTGTGGGCCAGAGATTCAATGTGAGAAACAGAGAGCGCCCTATCGTTGACATTTGGCGATTCAGGTGTGTCAAACGCTAGCTAATCATTGGATGCGCACGATCCATTTACATCTTGAACTGAGAGGCGGCTTCAGATTGACAGGTAGGACGAGCACGACAGTGGGTTCGAGACGCTGATCGATCCGGACATGTTGCGGTTCATCCGAGCTGCTCATACAAGCAAGGCGAAAGGAAGGGGTGGCAGCAGACTGGCCTACCAAGTGAGTGCAAACTCAGCCAATCGGTTGGATCTTGCAAGAGATTATCTAACTCAGTCCCGGACACCAAGATTTCCCGTGCTCTAACTAAATTTACCCCCACGGTCGTAAGTGTTGGATGAGCCCACAAAAATATACATTGAGAACATAACTTGTGGACGCCACCTGTTGCGGCAAGTACCCACTACTCTTCCTCATTGGCGGGTTTAGGATTGTCGATTATTTGGGCCCTTGGGCGACAAATGCAAAAACGGTACGAGGATATCGGACTCCTTTCAGGGTCACCTGCGGAACGTAAATCGTAGATCAAGGACAAGAGATGGACCTAGATTAAAGGGAAGCGTGCTTAGAGGAAGGTGGAAGCCGTGGGATTGGGCTGAGTTCGGAAGTCTCCAAGACCTTGGATGGCAATAGAAGTCTCGGGAGAAGGGAAATAATTGAACCACAAAAAGAGGTCATTTGCAGTTTTAGGAGTTGCAGATTTTCGAGTCGGAATCCAAAGCATAGAAGATCCAAGAGCTATCAGGAACCTGGAATATAGCCACACATCACTCATAGCCTGCTTCATTTGGAGTCCTTCATGAGTAGCGATATGGACTCCAAGTAGATATGAGAATTGAAACTAGAGTTTGCATCCACTGTCGAGTGCTGCCAAAGGGGAGTTGAAGCAATGGAAAGATAAGTCGGCGGAATTTTCCCTGCCCACGCGAGCCCCACAATATTACCCGCATAGCCCACAACCTGACAAACGAACGGACCCACTGGAAACTCAAGGGAGGAAATAGCCAACCTGAAGAATTTCATTATCGAGGATCGATGGACATTTTTGCTTGCACTCTCATCGGATGTATCGAGCAACAACGGCAAAAAAAAGGAAATCAGGTTATCGGCACCTGCCGCTTCCTCTTTGGTGGTGGCATGGAACGATAATGGCCAACGTAGCTGTCCAGTGTTACTCTCGATGCGTTTTCATGGTGTCCAATCTCGCGCTCTCGTTCTGGTATCGTGTCAAGCTCCCGAGACATTGATAGCATCTCAACGGGATTATTTCTACCCTGATGCGCCTGCTTCATTTCCTCAAAACATGACGTCATCTAGCGGCTGATAGCGCGTCTCAGTGCCACGGGGAACAGCGCTTGTATATATCCTTATCATTGAGCCGCCTGCGGCCCTCCTAACATGTTGGACTTGGTTGACTACATAACTACTCCGCTAAAAAGGGCTTCTACCAGGATCGACAGAGGGCGAATCCTTGGGGTGTCGATGATTTCGGCCTTGACCCAGGCGCTTTAGTTTTAGCAACGTCTCCAGACATTCTTCGGGAGTGTCCTGCAGCGCCAACGGTTTTGCGGGCTACCATGGAGCCGATAGCATTGTACGGCGCACATTCATACATCTGACACACGGGAGCTTCCGATTACGAACAGGATCCGTTTCGTCATCGATGCGGGTACTGTACCCACATGACCAACTACCGGCTGGGTCCTGAGCGTGACACAAAATTTTCAACCGGCGACTCAGTTTGATGCGTGACACCCAACCGGCCAGCCGGGCCCCAAAAGGGAGGCAGTGCTAATTTCGGGAAAATGGCTGAGCCTGATGAGGTTACTTTGGCTCCCTCCGACCTTGGTCATGGAATGCAAGCTAGAAAAACACACAATTTGGACGAGGTGGCTGTTTTTCACTACGTATTGACTCGATTGAGCCCTCTTATCCCCCGTGAGAACCATTCAACTCTGGGGTATAGATGTCCCCCAAATCGAGTACTCGGCTAATGCCGGTGCTTCTCGTCTACTTTACCGCCTGGGAACCTTCGTACGTGATGCGCGCGTCGATCGACGCGTTCAGCCTCCGATGTCACCGTTTGATATGGTACAGACAGACCTTTGTTCACAGGTTGTGACTCGATACTCTACTTATTGCGATAGTTGGCATATTCGGTGAGCGCAAAATTTGTCGTTTACAGCCATGCCTGACCCATGCAATGCCCTCGCTCTCCTTCCACAACGCTCTAGGATACTACACGCAGGCTCCCTCATCGTTTCCCACTTCCGTCGCATCTCTGGCGGCGACTCCCTTGACCGCAGGCGCTTGTCTTTGAAAACTGTTCACGCAACCCCGCATCTCATAACACCCCTTGCCTTCCGCCCAACCGCCCCCCGGATATTTCTTAGGAAGTTTCCCTTCTGTATTTAACTAGAGACGACCAGAGACGTTCAGTGCGTCGCTGGTGTATCGCGGTTAAAGCAACCCCTTCAGCACACCGATTCCCCGCTTCAGCACACCGATTCCTCGCTTCAGCACATCGATTCCCCGCTTCAGTACATCGATTCCCCCCTTCAACACACCGTCTGTGTGAAACGACCCTCGCTCTAGACGTTTAAATATATCCTGCACAAGGGAAGAGTCTCTTCGCAGACCTCCCTGCACTGCTGGTGCTACGCAGTCGTTCCCCTGCACGTTACGAAGGCGGGCCTTACCTCGATCTTGCATAATACCCTCAACAACCATACACATTTTGTGGCGCCTCATTGACGTCCTTGAGCTTAACGGTTCATCGCATTCCGCATCCACGCCCAGCCTGCTGCCTGCCCGTACGCCGACGCCGCCTGTAGCCGGGCATTCCAAAAATAGAGATAAAAGCCCTGTACGTCGTTCTTTCCATAGAACGAGCGTAAACGATCTCAGCCGGTGGCGGTCCTGCATTCCGTTTTGCACGCCTACCCCTATCCGATTCGTATTGTAGCTTGTATCCACATTGCTTGTCTGGGTATCACGCAACCCCTCCGTCGGTGCTGATCGATCCAAAACGACGTGAGCAGCGGTACGTCCCGTTGCCGGTGAGGCTTCCTTGAACCGCCTCGTTTCGTGTCCGTTCCTGTCGGTATGTGTCGCAGCTACATGCACGTGAATATACAGCTGATTGCGTCGTCCCCCCACCCCACCAAACCGATTTCCGAAATGAACTGCGCAATTGGACTGCACCTTCAAGTCATTCTGTGCCACTGAACTGCACCCGGTAGCTTTCCCCAGCAGTTAGACCTCATGCCTAGACATAAAGCTAGAATCCCTCCTCTCACCACTTCGCCTCTTAAGAAGCCCCGACCATCTAATGCCCCAAAACCTAAATATGCCGAATATCTTGATCCACCGCCCGTGCTGTACCCTGAATCCTCGTCGTCAAAGAGAAAACGGAGTAAACACGCTTCAGCCACTGGACAGTCTGTCCCTGAGATGTCCCGGAGGGTTGAAATAGCGACTCCTAGCGGGACGGTGCTCACGCAACGCTGGGGGCCGGGGATCGAATCTAGTTATGGTTGGCAGGTGCCTAATCGCTATGATCATGTGGGAAACGCGCTGGTAGAAATGGGTGGTGCCCCTTCACCCACTCCAACCTTCAGTCCAAAAGAAGAGTCCTCAATGCGGGAGGCATCCCCTCAGGGTTGGGGGGGGAATATCGCGGATGCCGCTCCTAACCCGGATACCCCGTCACCTACCATACCATCGCCCTCCCGAAAACGAGCCAAGAGGGCAGTGCGAAATCCACAAAAGAATGCCGCGTGGCTCCATTGGCGCCAGGATGTAATATATAAGGCAGTGGAAATATATTTAGATCTGGAGGCAAAGAAGGCAGAACGCGTGCCCCTTGCCGCCCCCGACGAAACGTCGTTCGAACAGAACGGACAACTGCATACACTTGCGATGGCCCTGTGCTCTCGTTGCAACACGCCTCTCCGGTTTCATTCTGTAATGACGATTGCGTTCACGAGTATGTTTGCATCTTGACCTCGTTCACCATGTCCCATTGACCTCGGTGTAGATGCTGTGCGGCGTACATTCGAATATTGCAAATGTCCATCCAATACCCTCCCGCTTGGGATCATTCAGTGTGGCTACTTCCCTGGGTCACCGGTAATGCCTCAAATCGCCTTCCATTTCGACATTCTTTCGCTATTCTCAGCTTTAAATGTGAACTCCTCTACACCAATTACCTCCTTTCATACCGCCCTGTTTACGATATTGCAGGAGAATGGCTATGAATTCTCCGCCAAGGTAATACCTAGTCATCATTTAGGTGGAGTTGACATGCACACGGTCTCCTATTCATATAGGATCCCTTTCTAGGTTCGCTCAGTGAAGCAATAACATGGTTTAAAGCCCTACGCGACTTGACAGAGGTTGAAACGGAGAGAGAGTTCCTTCTGCCCACGGACCCTGTGGAGTCCGATGCACCGCTATCTATTTCCACACCCCACGAGCTTACCCGTCACCTACCTGCGCATAACGGGGACCCCACGATCACCACATCTGAGAGCATGATATCCGGTGATGATGACATACCGCCCTCCACAGAAACGACAACTGACTCTGCGTCATTGACCCTTGCTCGATCAAGGCTGTTTCGAAACCCCTCGCACAACAGGGCTAGCCCATACCTCCGTGCGAGATGCCTGCAATGTTTCGGAGGCTCAACATGGGGTGGTCCCGTCAACGAGTTTGTCCCACGCACCTCTGCTTCAAGAACGGGCCTTGTACTAATTCTGTCCCCAGGAATCCTGATGTCATTGTCGCTATGGATGGTAATATGCAACACAAGCAATATATGTTTGTTGGCGGAGAGATGATTCTTCCCTGGAACGAAACCTGCAGTTTCCTGACCCGTGCTGAAGTCGGTGAAGCTGCCTGCCATGTCTTTGAGGCGCGAGATGCATCTCGAAGCTCTTCGGGATCTCGTCCTTCATCTCTTGTGCCAGATGGCGCTATTGAGGAGTGCGAAGAATCGCACCGAGCCACGAAGCATGGAAGGCAGTCAGCGTCGAAAACCGATACCTTCCGTTCGAAGGGTCTGATGGCTACCGTCTGCCGCCATGATATCCCCCTCTTTCTTTGTGACGTGGACACCCCGGGCGAGCAGCAGCACTTTTCCATTGCCATGCTCATCGCACTCAGCCGCCAGCTGCCCTCAAACACCACCATCGGATTAATGTATGATGTTGGGTGCGTTCTCGATCGATCAATCGCTAAGGTATAACTTTACACTACCTGCAATACAACAGCTGATGTTTGAATAAAGTATAATCTTATCCCCAACATAGCTCCTAGATTGAGTATCGCCGTTTCGGTCTTTCATGCGTATGCACATCAGTTCTGTTGCCAAATCGCATTCCACCCATGGAAACGAAGTGGATTTGGCAAGTCAAATGGGGAGGGAAACAAGCAACTGTGGTCCTCGATCGTAGACACGATAGCGCCTGAACGTATGATGAGCGTGAGTCCGACAGTGCCTAACGCTGTTTGCACGTCAGTGAGACCTGATAAATGTCGTTGCATAACTATAGCCAGCAAAGCGGATAACAACTATCGACAGCAAAATCAAGCTGATTGCCTCCCGGGGCCGAGATCGTCTGGCTTCATTGGCAAGGTCCAAAATGGGTGCCATCCATCAACAGGAAGCCCTTACGACTGATCTCCTTGAAACACTAAAGGAGAATAGGGGATTTACACCTCAATTCCTTCAATCCCAGTGGGAGGCACAAAAGACTCTGCAACTATCCGCTCGAGCCTGTATGCCGCTTTCCAACCTCATGTTTGGTATTAACCAACGTTTCCGTACTCTAGACAATGACCAAGCTGGAATGAAAAAGTTTGCCAAATTGTTGGAAGCTGAACGGTCGGCTCAGGCGCATTCGGATGCCTTGGATGCCGTAAAGAAGGAGCTGGACCGTATCTCCCTGGCGCGAACGATGTCTCACAGGCCTATGGATCTGAAGGAGCATTATCAAGCTGCTCTGCATGTACGATCATTGCACGATGAATCCCAGGCACGCTTGCACGAACTGACAGCCCAAATTGGTTTATCCGATTTGAAACTTCCGCAAAACCCATCTGACAAAGAAAAAGAATACATCGAGAAGTATATTCTGGCTCGGTTCCGCAAGCATTCTATTCTTATCCGCCTAGCTAAGTATCAGGATGAGATGAACCCTATTCGCAGCTCACAACGGCGTGGAGGACGACTAGTTACAAAAGTCGGTACGTGCTCCATGCACGAGGTGAATGATGTTGTGGTTGAAGCTCGTCTGATACTTTAGGATACACAAAAATGGTCTCGGTGCTCAGTAGCGCAAACGAGCGTGCCCGGATCATTTCTACGCAAGTCCGCCAATATAACGAGCTTGTCGACTACCTCGAGTGTTCCGAGAGACCGCCCTGGCTCCCAGATTCTCTAAGCCACACAAAAATGAATGTCAAGGAGTTGCTTCAGATGGATCCCAGTGATGAACGATGGGCAAAGATGTGGGAGACCTTATGGAACTCCAACTGGTCCTTGGACGAAAAACCGCCTGCCTTTGTCATTGATCAGGAAGTTTGCCATGGCATAGTAGCAGTGCTATCACTCGCTCGCATAAAGGAAGAAAAGCTCAGGCTCGCTCGAGAGGAACTCAATGCACGCACTTGGATTGTCGAATCGTTCGACTCGTTGGTCCAGATCGTAGACAGTATTCATCGTATGTCATGCGAATTCCACTAATATTTGTGTGATAATCTGTCCTCTTCGATCCTAGCACTATTCAAGTATCGATTACGGCTGCGCCTCAAGTCATTGCTCAAATGCCGCGACTCGATCATAAATGGATCAACTCCCAACGTCAATCTCCGGCGTGCACCAATACGTCATCTACTCGAAAACCTAGAACGACCAGACCCCGCCGCTGCGCCAAGTTACATAGACTATACCTCCTTCCGCCTTCCCCTCCCTTATTCCTCCACCTTGCCTTCAGGAAACAACAGCATAGATCCTGACGATGACGTTGAGGTCAGGAACGAGCTGAGCGTACTTGATGGACTTATTAGAATGAGCCCGGAGTCAGATTTAGGTGGTGCTGAGGACATCGAGCCCCCTATCGACAGTGCCGGTGGCTCAGACGACCTCGATGTGCCTGGAGATATCTCAGACGATGAGTCTGAGGCACCACTGGATGAGCCCACTGAGAGCGCTGAAACAGACGGTGGGCTCCATGCCAAACCAGTTTCCCCCGAGGGGCTTTGGTCAGCAGGTCTGGACAATTCCAACGATGAGCAGAGCATCGAGGAAAAGTTCTGGGACGAGAACCCTCGTCCTCAATCCCTTCCTCCGATTACAATGATCATCGATGCCATTCGTTCACCCGGCCAATCTGTTCAAGAACAAATTCCAAAAAAGATTTGGAAGGAAATTATGGAGCTGCATTTGCCTCGAGAAACTGAAAGAGTAAGAATGACCCCAAGTTCCCCTATGCTCGATGCCGCTGATGTCCCGTTAGATAGCGAATGACGGCCAAACGAGGTATTATAAACATATCTCAATCTTCTGTGATGCATTGCCAACGGTCAATCGCCTGCGGCGGATACATGGGACAATAATCGATACCTATATCGAGATGTTGAAAGATCTTACCGACGAAAACCTGCGGGATGTGCTCAGGACCACTCGACCCCGTGTGATCATGTTTCCTACCCAGTGTGAAGGAATGAGACATCATTTGGCAGTTCGCCTATTAGACGTATGCCGGAGCGCCCTAGTCAACGCTGTTACTGACCAAGTCCTTAGCGAGAAATGGAAAACGTGCGAACCGATCTTTTTGAAGTAACCTCCTGGACGATCCCATGCTACTCACGGAAGCGGTCTCACTGGCTCCTTGGCGTTGTGAACTTCGAAAAACGAGAGCTCCGCTATCTGGATAGCATACCTCTCCCTGAAACCTTCGACATAAGTCATCATGGCCCACAGTGGGTTTTCGCAGTGCGTCATCTATCGTAGTCCACACTGCAGTGTTGGAAATCCCCTTTCCTCAGATACTTGGGCAACTGGTTGATGCCGTCTGGTCATTCGTTCACCCTACCCGTGTATTCGATTGGTCTAATTGGGGATCCAGAGTAGTCACCGTAGGTGTCCCATCCTTCAACATTCTGAGCATGATATAATGAAAAACCCTAGAAAGAAACTCGCCAGTGGAACGGACACGACTGTGGCGTTTGGACTATGGCTGACATTCAGGCCGTGCATATCGGGCTCGATGCCGCTCCCAACGGTACAAACGTCGATCACTTTCGAAACAGGGTGAGGCACCAGATCCTTTCCCTTCCCGTTTCAAATCCACGCTGGCAGCCCACGTGGAAAACCTTGGACGCAAGTCTCCTTCGTGAACTGCGGTCGCAAGCTGCTATGGTGGCCTCGAGATTTCCTGTTGATTATGCCCAACTTGGGATTGACCATACTGACGCGCCGTTAGTGATGGACGGTGAACAAGATCAGATAGATTTGTCCGACTAGTCGAGATCCTGTATGCTTGGTTCTGAATTCAAGTTTACCAACAAGATATTTAACATAGCAATCTGGTGAATCGCCCCTTCCTTTATCTCGACATTAAGGAGCTTTCCATCAGTGTCGGAGTATAAGCCACTCTTCGCCACTCCTTTGTCCCCAACTCGTCCGTAGTCCTTCCCCATGCCCGAGACGCCTCTCGTCTTATTCGCCTCACTCGAACAATGTACTCCCACTGTGAGGAACGGAAGATCACTCGCCAAGGTCAGAAAATAATGCATTTGTGTCCTGGGTCACGTCTGACACCCGTTGAGAAAGCCTACCAGCCCGATAAATCCATTAGAAATAATATATTTATGGCAATCCAGTGTTAAGACGAAAGAAAGAAAGGTATCATGGACGAAACCCAGTGTCATAAATGCATAACTCGCCACATGTGTCGGCAGTCCACATCGATACGCTCGCAGGAGATCGACCCTTGCGGGCCTCTGAGCGGCCCGGTCATGGTTCATGAGAAACAAGCTGGGTCAACCTGCCTGCGCAGTCACTAGGCATGTTTTCATTAAAACTGACCCAACTCCCTCATCAATGTAAAGTGTTCCCTCGCTTGTGAATCCTGCCACTAGCACTCTACTTTCCCCGATGCACCAAACAAGCTGGGAACCCCTGTATAGCACGTTTGACAGGTTGCGAAGGCGACACTGGACCACCAGGTGTCTTGGTGGACATTATACCGAGGTCAGTACGAAGTGCCGTGTTGGACAAATTAGTCAACGGCGTCGCCGGAACAGAACGAGCACTCGAGAGAGTTGTGTGTCTTGTCAGACTCGAGGCATCAGAGAACGTGGGAGGAGTCCACTTTCTGGACACGTCAGGGCTTTGAGTCACGATTGGAGTTGGTACAGACAATGTAGAAGGGCTATCTGGTCCGATGCCGATGGCTAGGTTGTGCGAAGAGCTACGAATGTTGAGGCGAAAGCCACCAAATTCCGCACGATGAGAGAATTGGGATCATTCTAACGATGTGAGACCAACACTGTCGGTAATCCTAGAACTGAACAGCCGAGACTGCTGCAGTGGTGCCAGGTCAAGTATAGCTGACCCAACTCCCTCATCAATGTAAGTGTTCCCTCGCTCGTGAATCCTGCCACTAGCACTCTACCTTCCCCCTGGCACCAAACACGCGTGACTTGGCTACCACCCACGCTGGGGATGGCACCTCAACGGCTGCTGATCTTCGTGACAGCTGTCACACGTCATCCAAAACGCCACTCGATTTCTTGCTCACCCCTTCACACTACCACTACCAAGCGGGCGATACAGGAACTACTACTCGGTAAAAACCCTTGCCCCCTCCTTCAATTCTTTCTGCTGCAAACTCATCCGAATACTACAAATTAGTTCGAACCTGCGAATCGTTCGAAACCCCCCCACCCCCCCCCAATTCCAAATGTCGAGACCCCTTCGCCTCAAAACGATGCCAGGACCTGAGTTTACTCGAGTGCAGGTCCATTTGCCACCCTGGAATAGATCGTACAAGCGGGTGTGGGCGAAATATCACGTCAACTTTATCGCTCAAAACCAAAACCATGTATCGGATCTCTTCGTGTACTGCGACGGGTCGCAGTACCGGAACAATGGAGTCGCGAAGACAGGGTATGGGGTGGTTGGCTACTCCAACCAAAATGTAGTGTTTGAGGAGAGGGGGAGGGTCGGCAATGTCGATACATTCGAAGGGGAGATGATGGCCCTTCAAGTAGCGGCAGCGGAAATAGAAAAGACAATCAAGGCTATCAGCGCGGCACCCCAGCCAACCCGCATTTTCATATACTCCGACGATGTTACATCGATCGAACGAATCATCGAGCCCACGCCGAAAATAGGATGCCAGTACTCGAAAGAATTCCGGAAAGAGATGGGCAAGTTGCTGCAAAACCGGCCGCATATTGATATTGTGATAAGTTGGTGCCCATCCCACCAGGGCATTCAAGGAAACGACTGAGCAGATAGCCTAGCTAAGGCTGGCGCCCTTGGATATTAATGTCTTCGCTGTTGAATGCACACATGTATCATAATTTTCTTTTTTCTCGTGCATTGCACATGGATAATTATGTGTCATAGTTCTCCTGTTCATTCCCATTGTGCAGCACGTATGTTTTCCAGCCCTACATTATACCCAAACCGACCCCCCTCATTTGAACGAGGTGTTCACTCACTGCACCAATATTAGTCATCCATTCAGCCACATTGTCATCATTCACATGTGTAAAATATGTATAACAGTGTTCCCTAATGAGTACAAAGATTCGCCCACACCATGAAAGAGATTTCGCATCACTGAGTCTTGTTGGCACTCATCGAAGCTTCGGCTCGAAGCTTCTGAAGCTCGTCCTCCAACTCCTTGCATCTCGATTCCAGGTTTGTATACTCGTTTAAATCGACACCGCAGTGTTGGCACCTTGGGTCCTCCCCAATAGGGGGCCAACGTTCCATAGCTGAGAGTGGGTCGAACTCATCATGTGTTCGTACCATGCCTAAACGCATAAGTGAAGCTTGTTTGATTGCCCTTGGAAACACTTGATTAGTACCTTGTCATCCAATCATATAAGGCATCTTACCGCTTCACCTTGTGGGATCTGGCTGAATGAGTGGCGGATTGGGTTCCCGTAGTTAGGGAGTCCGATACAGGGTCGATCTCTCTTATTTAATGACCTGTTAGCTCAATATCTTACATATTAGAGCGATGTATAATCATCTCCTACACTCTGAGCTTTTCCTGACGATTGCGCTGTTGCTGCGTATTAGCCGCCCGGCGCTCATCGGCTGTGGCATACAAACGAGGACGTCCGCGACCTCGTTTCTCCTTAGCATTGGTGATTCCCGCCTACGATAGACCAACTCAGTATTAAAAAGCTATTGGGATGGCAAAATCGCACCTGAGGAATATCCATGACAGCTTGATCTGAACTTCGTCAGAGTTAATCCCACGCCAATTGAGGTCACGAGCCTATTCTCGTTTCGACAACCTTTGACGTCGTCTGGTCTCTTCACTGCATCCCGACAATCCGAGGGTAACTGCTGGTCATTGTAATGTAAGTACTATTCTGTTCGCCTTTCATACATGATCTAAATCCTTTGCCTTCTCTAATAATTTGTGGTCTCGACCTCATTGGACAGCGCCGCAGCCACCAATCCTTGTAACTGTTAAGTACTTTCCCTGTTCACCTTGCGTACATGTGTCATTTGAAACTCGTTCTGATCTTTCGTTTGCTTGCAGCCTTGTCACGACGTCACCGTGACACCTGCTTAATCGACCAACCTGTCTCAGGCTCCAGTGGGTACGAATCTCATTCCCTTGTACACACCTCGTTCACGTTGCGACGAGACACAGGAATCACAATCGGGTTCGTGCTGGCGTTGTTCCGTTCAGGAGCCTTCGGTGTTTCTAGAAGGCAGAGAGTCTTAGTGGCTCGCTGCCATCACGGAGATATCGATTGATCCTAGACAGTCTGGTCACCCAGGCCATTGGACCTCTTCCACGATAGGGGTGTGATCGGTCCTTCTACTTCACTCTCCGCGTTGTAGCCTTTTCCCCTGCTTGATTGGCTTCCCAGATATTGGTCGAGCCCCATCCCAGGTCGCACGACGCTTTCTACACGGTCGATCTTGTCGCTGCCACCTTCCGTGAGGCCGGAAACCTCCAGTTGGAGGCCATTCACTTGACTATGAGCTCTGAAGCCATGGAGGCCTCGCCTATTCCCATTCCCAACGCTAATCGACTTTGCCAGGGCTGGAAAATAAATCCTCAGGGCATTTTCTATATTCGCCCACTTGGGCTGCCGTCGCATGATGGCTCGCTGCACCCCAGCCGCTTTCTCTACGACCAACGGATTGCGAGAGTGGAGGAGGTGATTAGTCTTGTTGTCGATCATTCACTGGGTGGAGCGATTCAGAGATGCAAGCTAAAGTTACCGTACTCCCACCATTACTACCATGCTGTGTTTGAGGTATTTGTCCTTCCATCCGAATCTCTCATTCCCCGACCATGGCTTCGAGAAGCCATTGATTCATGCATACAAAATGAATCCGAAATCTCCCCTCCAGAATACAGCCGCTTTCCTCATGGGGCGCGACGGTATTTGCGGTGCTTCGTTCATCCCATGCCCCCGCCTACACCATCACCCGAGCCCATTTCTTTCCCATATCCTGATCGCAAGGAAGGCTGGACTGTAGGAAAGACTTTCGGTGAGGTCTTCCTCAAGAGGCTAGACCCATCGAAGTGGACCAAATCCATGAAGAGGGCGATAACGGATAATAACGAGAGCATTGCGGAATGCATCTGCGTGCAGCACTGGGAGCAGCATCTCATCGGAACTACATCATCAGGATCGATTGGTATAGCCGATGAGGTGGCCTCTGCATTTTCCAATGCCCGTTATCACGACCGTTTCAAACCCGCTGGACCAACATATCCCCCTGGGGCGGTTCGGTTCTTTTCCCTGTGTACTCTTACCGGGGATGGAGATATCCTGCTGAGACTCGCTGGACATCCATTCCACCCGCCGGAGGATGATGATGGGGTCTCTTCTGAACCAGAAGAGTTCTTTAGCGAGAACGACTGGGCGGAAGAAGAGGAGCCTTCTACGTCACCCTCAGAAAGGTATGATTCCTCAGTTCCATCAACACCACATACCTCTCGCCTCTACTCTCGTTCTGGTCGAGGGTTTCGTCGACGAACTCGATCTCCCCTTCGACGAAGCCCTTATCCCCGTCGACGCTCAGGCGCACCAAGGAGGGGACCTCCAGGGCTGCGGTGGGATTTACGCTGTCCTTTCGAGGTGCGAGAGGATCAGGAACGTCCAGTTCATCGAGCCCAACGGTGTGCACGTTGGGCGCCTCCCAGGTTGCCTTTAACCCGGGAAGTCTCACATCATTCCTCTCGTCCCACAAACCGCCCAGGATGGCGGACCGCCGGATATGATCACTGTACGGCTGTAGAGTGCTCCTATGCACCAGAACACCGTTGCCCTCCTTCGCCTCCGGCCATGGAGGGTGTCCAGGAAGCCCAAAGCCCGTTAGCCCATGCCTCGGTCCCCACTTCCCAATCTCGACAGGAACTCCGTCCACTCCCCCCGTCATCCTCCTATGAGTCGTCGTCAAGATCGAAAGCACTTCCGTGTGTGCCCGGACAGCATCACCCATCCCTCGCTATGAAAGGCGTTCAGTTCGAAGCAGCCCAAATCTCACATATGTCGGCTCCTACCTCCCAATACCGACCAGGACCCCCTCTACCCCTCCTGCCATCCTCCTTCGAGCCACCATCAAGACCGAGAGTACCACCAGATATCACACGTTTCACCTCAGTCGAACAAATTGTGGCACAGGATGGAGGGACAGCGTCTTTGCTAAAGGACACTATGATCATTCGAGGTACGCATAGTATGTTTAGTAATGTCCTATTTGCTATTCTCATGACGATGTTGATAGGTGCGCCTCGTTCACCCGTTCCGCTACTTTCCCCTGGTCCTGAGGCTGCAAGCCATGTTGAGAAATGGAGAACGGAGTTGTCTCGTAAGCTCTACTGTTTCCTTTTCTATCGGGATACCTCCAGTCTAATACATAGAGGATGTCTAGAAGGTAGTATCAAGCGGGCGTACCGTCAGACGCTGATCCGCATTGTGGCCGTGAACACTGATAAGATTTGCCCCTACAATGGAACATACGCCTCCTGGGTGAGCGCTACACCCTCAGCGAAGACAAGCGTCTTGAACGCTTCTCCAAAATATCGAGAGTTCATGGACTTTTGCCGGAGACCAGTCAGCTTCGATCCACTCCGCCCATACCTTGCGCTCATTGAGCTCCGCCCCCCTTTTCATTATATCAAAGCGCCACTCGTTAACATCGACTTGCTTCGTGCTCCTGATGGTTTGAATTGGCTCCCAACGTCTGAGTGGAGAGAGAGACTCTTAGGCACACAGTCCGTGCTGAAGCAACTCCTTCGCCTCGTTCAGAGCACTGTCTCTCGTCTCTGCCGAGCAGAAATCCTTCCCTCTCACCGTGAAATCATCAGAATACTCAAGCACGAGTCAGAGCTCTATCTCAACAAGCTGCTTCAATCCCGCATGATTGCGGGATCCGAGACATATCACTGTGAAACTGTTGGCGAGATCGAGCGCCAGATTGGAGAACTACGAGGACTTCTTCGCTATTGCCTTCTCGTTTCCCTCGATGCGTGTGCCGTATTGGGTGGTATGGAACTTCCGACGTGGCCAGTTCAAGAAATAGCCATTGGAACTATTTTTGACGGCTCAGACGGCACTCACTCTGAGGTTCACGACCTCACTCTCAGCACCTCTGCCCAAGCCTTTGCCCTCACTCTAGAACGGTGGGGAATTCCCCATTGGAGCGTGGAATATGGTGAAAAGCGCTTTGCAGTTTGTCGATCATGTCCCCCTCTATTCGATCATGCAGCAGAGCATGCCCTTCAACAGGAGATACGGAATCGTGCTCAATCCAAAGACTCGAGAGGCATTGTGAAGGGGGATATTATTGTCGGGTTCGATTTTGTTGTTACGGGAACCATCACATGTTCTCGCCCTCAGCATTACGTGTTCGCGGCTCCACGAGATGATTCCTCCAGTCAGCAATTTGTCATGGAGCAATGCCTGAATGCGCTTGCCCCCGAGGGGAATCCTATTCCGTTCAGCGACTTCACTGTTACAATGAAGAGTGTGCTACAAGGAGTCTGGCTAGATTTAAAATACGAAGAGGGCCTTCACCGTAGAGCGACCCTGGAAGGAACAAAATGGGAAAAGATGAGAATTCCATTCGCCATTGGCGCCCATACTCCACTGTTGACAGCATTTGTCAAAATACCTCCCTCGTACTACCAACCTAACCATCCCCTTCCATCGTCTAATCAATCTGTACCCTTTATTGGCCTGTCTAGCGCTTTTTCGTCGCCTAGGATTGACTCTGCCGCCGCTGATGTTTGGGTTGGCATATCCATACGCCTATCAGGTCCGGTACTGGAGCTACGTGATGACTTGGAAGCGGTCAAGACGCGGGGCATTCTTGCCTTTCGAGAAGTCCGTGATCCCTCCTTGAACCGGAAAGTGGAGGGCTGGGATGGCTCGACGCACACTCTGAAGTTGCTTTGCAAGACACAGGAGTGCAATGAGAGTCTCAGGCGATACCTCCAATCAAGATTTTCAGGTGCAATTCTCAGAGATATCAACATGCACGACTACACCCCAAGCGGGTATACTGGCATCTATGAGCTTGGGTACATCGGCGAGGTCTTTTCTCGCCCATACGACGAAGCCACCACCAAAATCCTCCTGGATCGCGCTCCAGCGCCACTCATCCCTCGAGGCCCAGACACACTGCCAGCCGAGATAACAGAGCTGTGGACGCGGATGTACTCGCAAGATCTTTTCGAGTATAATCGCTTCCCGATTATAATGGCGACAGCCGGCCAAGGACGCTTGCCGTTTAACGTCATTGAGGTGACCTTCAGGCGTGAAGCGCTCGAAAGGATGTGCTTGCGCAGGCCTCTTGAGCTGAACCAAGAGGAATATCTTGGACTCCTTCGTTTTTGTCTCATCCTTTGTCGCCTTCAGCGCTTCAGGCGCGCATTCCGTCAACGGATCTACCTTTCGGAGGGCTCTATCTACCCCAGTGTTGTCCGTTTCATTTCCAGCACTGGAAGGCAACTTTTTGAGGGCATCGAATGTCGATCGAATGAGATGTTAAGGAAGTCCGGGAACCCATCTCAAGAGGAGTTTGAGTCCATTCGCTGGCAGCCAAAAACCGGGCTCTTCGCACTCAAAATGGCAGAGTTCCCACCTGCTCCTCCAAACAAGCCAACCAGGGAGGATCTATGTGGCGAACTGTAGTCGGAGAGTTGCCTAGCGTTGCACAGCGGCTGTCGTATTCGTTGTCTATGCCTCCGTGTACTCCGGCGTCTTCTACCCAATTATTTCGTGCAACGTAGATTGTGTTCTCGTTTGGCACAGCACGAAATGATGTTGTATGATATATGTCATCTAATCCTCACATCTGGCTATTGAACGCCGTTTAAACCATTTTAATTTTTACTCAACTTGATCCTTATGTCCTTATAAATAAGTGTACTTGGCGGCATTTCATTTCAACCAAACGCCAAACATAAATTTGTAGAATACTGATTACCACTTAGGCCGAAATGTTAGGATTGGCTATTACTCTCAGGGCGCCCTGCGTGGCAGCCTGGCGATCCATTTGTCCATTACCCCATCCCTTTCTTCGCTGGCCTCTGCCTCGTCAAGAAGCTGAGCTACTGACCTAGCAACCTTCCCAACATCAGCCCCTTTATTTAGAAGAAGTTCTTCCCCAGCATCATTAATGAGCCGCCAATGCAAGGAAACATCTGGCTCGTCGAGTGGTGACTGTTTGCTTTTAATTTGCTCAGCAATGACATCGACCTTAACCAGGAGTTCAACATCTTGACTCTCGAGTGCTTCCGAACGAAGGATCGTGGCAGCCTTTATAGCCGCCCTCCACACCCCGTTCTGTGCACACCTAAGGAGGTGGTCATAGGTGACGGGCTCTCCATTTGTACTTGCTGTGGAGGAAGGAGATTCTGAACGTGAGCGAGAGTCATGTTCATTCTTGACAGTGAGATAGCTGACGCCGTTGTTCTTCTCCCTCAATCCTGACTGCCCTTTAATCGGGCTGCTTTGGGGTGTTGGGTTAATCACCTTAATCGGTGGAATAGACGCCATTCTTGGGGATCGGTCCATCGTTCCACCCCTTGGCTTCGCCAGAATATTGTCCCCATTTTGCAGCAAAGGATCAATGGGAAGAATGGCGGTACTCATGCTATTCCTGCTTTGGGGCATCGGATTAAATTGCGTGATGGCCACTGCGGGAGAGGCACTGCATCCTCCCTCTCTGGAGATGCTTCTTCTGTTTTGCGGCTTCAGATTGAAGTGAGGCACGGTGTGCAATGCCCCAATCTTCGGGGCCTCGTCCTCGCTTTGTGGCATCAGATCGAAGCGAGGGGTGCTGGGTGCTGTGTAAGATTCTTCCATCGTCAGGACCTCGTTCTCACTCTGCATTGTCAGATCGAAGTGAGGGATTGTGTAAGATCCTCCAATTGTCAAGACCTCGTTCTCACTTTGAGGCAAAAAATCGAAGCGAGGGATGGTGGTCATTGTGTGGGATCCTCCAATCTTCGGGACCTCATTCTCATTGTGCGGCATAAGATCAAAGTGAGGGGTGGTCGTTGTTGTGTGAAATCTCTCAATTTCCGGCACCTCGTTCCCACCTTGCTGCATCAGATGAAAGTGCAGGAGGATGGATGTGTGGGACTCGCCAGCTGTTACCGGCGAAACCGATCTGTCTGATTCATGCAGCTGCTCGCTAGGGGTCTCTGGAACGGTCGTTTCGTTTGCCTGACTAGTCCCAGCTGTCGTTTCCGGCATTGTTTTCACTACGTGGTTGCTCGCGACTGGGACCTTCCGTCCGGGCTTAGCTCTTGCCTGTTTAGGCTTACTTGATATCCTCTTCGACCTAGTCCTCATCCGTTTGGGGCTTGGATGACTTGATGTCCCCTGGTCATTGGCACTAGTCGCTTCTGGCGAGTCTGCCTTGCGTTTTTCTGGATGTCCTGCTCGAGTGCTGACGGCCACTGTCTTGGCCACGGCCCTGCATACCTGATCTTCGGGCAATACATAAGATCGAACCTCACCCTTTGGGTCTGGAGCCCAGTGCACTACCTCGCGTTCCACATATTCCTCTGGACAACGGTACCTCAGCTCTAACCTTCAAACATTTACTGATATACCCTTACCTTCGGTCATGGTCTCGACTCTCAACCTCTGGGCTGGAATGGTGTGAGAGAGTTGCAACAAGCAACGGGCAGTTTCACGTGGCGTCCAATTGGACGGCAGTGACTTATCCAAGCATGGTACTCCACGATGCCACCCGGCAAATCGAAGGCGATGCTCAAGTAAGAGGGGGAGAATGTTGGCACTCTTCCAGTTGTCCTGCACCTCGTCAGCTGAGCCCACTTTATCACCTAGTGTGTATGTCAGTCGGTGATCACCCAGGCTCAACCTGAAGACATACTGATTAACATCCGGAGTTGTTTAGCGCACAACTTGCGGCGCTCCGTGGGCTTACCAAACTCCTTGTCGATTTCAATAGCGAAGCCATCCTCGTTTTTCATCACTGGTGTATAAAAGTCCACATTATCCTCATCTATAGCCTTCGGCTTCACGCATACGTTGCTGCCACCTGGATGCCTCTCTAATGTTGGAGGAACCGTGTGCTATGGGAGGCCGGACGAGTTTTCGTACAGCCACATTCCCACATCCGGGTGAGGAACTCGCCCGGACAGCCACATTCCCGCGGTAGCGTGACTACTTAGTCACAACACCTTTTCTCTTTTATATTATTTCGGACTAATCCGTGCCAGGCCACGGACATATTCATTCATTTGAATTCATTTCCTTTTCCCTCAGTTCTTCACGCATATTGGCTGAGACTGAGGTTAGTTAGTTACATTCCCTCATTGCTTTATCATTGTAACTTATATTATGTATATTACCTCTAGTCATTACTCATAGGTAATATATCCAGTTCTTCACGCATATTGGCTGAGACTGAGTCATTACTCATAGTCCAGCTCCGAGATCATAAGTCGCTCATCAACATCTAAGTCATCATTAAAATGGACAGTTTTTTTGGCATGTTGCACGATGGCCTTCATAAGGCCCGATATATTATGTTCCTCATTCTCAGACTTCACAGGGGCCTTGAAATCACTAAGGTGACGGAGGAAAGCTCTACAGCAAGTTAGCATAAGCAGCAGGAAAGGGCCGGATATACAGACTTTTGTTTGGCAGCATTGGGCTGATAAGGGCTGAGGAAACATTATAAGTAGGCTCCTTGTGCATTGCCATATCTATCTTGCTCACCTGAATGCTGATACTCCGTCATACAGGGACCTCATACTTTGCGCGGCCTGTTGAGTAAAGGGTAATCCCAATGTTTTCACTAGTTCAGCGATGAATGGTGAACTGGTGAATGCAATGGTTGACTCTTGTGGTGGCACTGCTTCATCGGAAGTGAAGCCCACAAGTGCAATGCCAACAGGGTAAATCGAGCTGAGCGTGGAAGCCTATCATGTCACTATTTTGTCAAATTAGATCTACAATAATATTGATCTCCAACTTCACCTGAGCAGCGTATCTGCCAGTCAGCTTTTGTAGCAAGTAGAAGCCCTTTTCAGATCGTGTTTCCCTCTCGTCTTTTGGTAGGATTGCATCCCCATAATGCACGAGCAACTTGTCATAAAAAGCCTTTGCTTCATCGGCCCTCTCAGGGTATTTCTCTTCGATCTTCAATTGCTCTGCCTTACGAAGGCTTCCTGCCTCTGAGCTATCTTTCCCAGCTGAAAGGGGAAATATTGAGTGTGTGAGAGTGTGACCGTGTTGTGAACTTACGGTGCAATTTCAACCATGCCTGCCAAGCTGTTTGTCCTACCTCACTCGGAACATGTGAACGGAAACGTTCCATGGCCTCCTGAGGTGACTTGCCATGTTTCTTTGCATATGCGGCAATGCATGTCTCTAGGAATACTGTCCGGAATGTTGAGGATAACTGAGTGGCTTGGAGCTGTTTAGATAATGACTCACTTTCGAAACTTAAGTCATTTGTCAGTGAGACGGCGTCAAATATGTCGCCAATTGTTCCAATAGTTTTGGGGAGTGTATGTCCCCACAGGTGCTGTGCAACATCCCGAACTACGTTTTCCAGGGAGGGAAGTGGCTGAAAGCTGGCCCTGTGGGCCATTGTAGTGTGTTTCTCGACAAGTGCCCTTAGGTCTGCAAACGGACCAGTTTTTTCTCCCAAAAAGTCATTTGCCGCAGGCGCTGTTGTCAACACCGTGATTCCGTCCGTGAAATTGGCATTCAAGTGGAGGATGGAAGCATTAGGTGTATCACTGGACACGTCAGACGCGTTATTGGACGTGTTTTTCAGAGGGGAGGACATTATGAGAGTTTTCTCTCGTTCTGGAGGTCATTTTGGGTTTAGGGGAAATCTTCAATTTGCATCCGATCCATCAAATTTGATATCTTGAAAACAAAATGTTGTATCTACATCGTTTGGAGCATTTATGGGTCGATCTACCCATCTCCTGTTGCGTAGCCATGTATCCTAAAGCTGGTACCCAGATCGCATATATAATTCCGCTCCCCGAACGTCCCCTTTCAAGTTGATGCCGACACCATTCCGGAGCCAACCAAGGGTCGATTCCACCTCCAAATCCCGATTCAACTCCTCGGAGGAATCCAGAGCGGGTCCACAAGAGGTTTGTGTGGTAGATCGACATTGAGAAAGTGAGGATCGGACTGGGGAGATGGCATTGAAGGTCGATCACAGTGACATGATAACTGGCCCTGATAAGTGGAATGGGCTCTGGGATTAGTTTGCGTTACATCGAAATAGGCCATTCCCTCCACACTACACCATCTGAGACCTGATCGATCCAGCTACGCAAGGTGTGCAGGAGGTGAGTTTCGGGGGCAGTGGCAGTGCCTTCTCGTCAGTTTCCCGATTTGGGGGACATCTATACCCCAGCTTTCATATATCACGCGACCAAATAAGACCCCTCAAATCGAGACACAGCCAGCTGGTTTTTCGTTTCGGAACATACCAATTACCCGAAAAAGGAAATTTGATATTGCCTTTGCATAGCCACAAGTGAATGAGCATTTTTGCGTGACATGGGACCATTTGACCGCTTGCCTCGTGTGACGCGTGACAGAGTCTTCAAATGAGCCTGACCTGCGAGCCCGCGTGACGCGTGACAGGTAGTTGGTCATGTGGGTACAGTACGTTTATGTAAATTCATCTGCGCGATCGATGCATCTAGCGTCATTAACAAGCTCTGATCTCCATTGTGCACCCCGCTGGATGCTAGGACCAAAACGGAATTAAGCCCAGCGCTTCCACGGAGAGGAGGCAGGATGCTACGTCCCCTTTTCTCTTCATAATTTAGGCGCATAAAGTATTCAATTTCACGCATAATAATTCCCCAGCGTCTCTCATTTAATTTGCCCTTTGCGCCCATGGAGTCCCACATGTCACGCCCCATCTGTGTGAACTATTCCCGCCTCGAAGCTGTTGCCGTTCAAAGCGCCATGCAGGATCCTTCTGCGTTTCATATCCTCTTATTCAATGATTGTGTCGTTAAATTCAAAGACTCCATGGACCTCCTTAACGAAGCTGATACCTAGGCGTTCGTTTACGCGGCAGCATTCAAAATCCCTTCGAATGCACCGTTCAAGATGTTTGCGGGTACTTCTGTCGGGGCCATATGTGTCCAGTATCATTTGTGTAATGGAGCCCGTCAACCTTTCAACCAAGATCGAGTAGGTCAATGACACCACCAATGAGGCTGAGGTGCAGTCCCGCTTATTGTCGGGCGGTTGCTGACACCCTCAGCTGGCTCTTCGAGCCCCCTCCTCCAGCCGGTGCAGAGATTCGTCTAACCGATCGAAGGAACGCACGCTCACACGCAAAGTCGCAAAGTCCCGCCCGTTCGTACGGAAAGCGGCCATCTCATCCCTTTTTCGAACATGCCATTCGCTACACCGACGCGCCTGCCCTAGAGCGACATATAAACACGGTATGATTGAGTAGAAGTAGGTCTTCTAGTCGATTACTGATGGATTTTACTACAGACTCTCCGCGATCATCGGGTAGGACCCTGCCGCTATGGGTCAAGATCTTGGACGAGCGCGTGGTGATGGCTCAAGGCGACATCAAGCCGCCAAACTTCCTCATCGACCCTCAGACCCTACAGGCGACCATCATCGATTTCGGCGATATCAGCGCACTGCCGCATCTGTTTGTCAGCTTCACGCTACCACATTGTCGAGTTTTTGAGTCCGATAACTTTTTGGCAATGGAAGCGGCTACAGGGTTGTATTGGCCATAACCGGACCGGGACAAGAGTTTTGGTAAGTCATTCCTCTGGCTAACGTTAGGTTACGAGTTGATGTTGGCATAGGCAAGGATGGTCTCCCGTGCAGAAGAAGGCGACGTCTCATTGAGTTCAATCGAACCACTGCTTCAACAATGAAAACCATGTGGGCGATGTTGGGGAACAAGCCTCCGATTGAATTCTTCGGGTGGCTGATCTTCATTCGAAGCTGAGGACAGTCCCCTCGGCTTCTGTGAGAAGCCTCATAACTGGCCTGGCCCTGACGTTCGTGCCTTCCGTGGGCACATCTTAATCCTGGTGAGGGAGGACATTCCAAATGACTCGTCGAATCAACTCTGAACGAGACCTGCTCCATATTCATACAGGACCATTGCCTAGAGTGGCTGCATCGCAAGTCTCAAGAACACCGTTGGCATGTGTATTCACAGTCAACTGCCAAATGTCACTTAGTGTTCGAGGTCACTGCCTCGGCGGTGGGGAATGGCATGATTGCCCCACAGGCTCTTTTACTAGACGGGCCCCCCCTCTGAATAGCTCAGAAAACCGCCCCTGTTAGACCTCCCCTCAGACCAAATGTTGCGAGATACCACTGTGGCTAGAATCGCTTGATTTTCGTGGTGGAGTGGGTTGGCTGTTCCCCGATGGGTCCGAGAAAGCAATGCTCATCTGATGGCTTTTGGCTTCGTGGATGTGCCGTCCTGGAAGGTTGACATTTTCTCGCTTTATACCTCTTTTTTCACCTTGACAGCTTATAATTTAGTCCTCACTCATCACGCTCGTAAAACTATGTTCTGTGCTTCAACTTGCACTTCGACATTGTCGCATCTATCTTCAAGCTGGTGCTATCCCCTCGTCTTCCCCCATCCTCAGCTTTCCAGCCAGCTGCATTGCAAGATCATCGCTACTCTTTCATCCACGTGTACCCAGCTCTTCTTGTGGTTGGGTGAGATGTTTAAAGTTACAGATGTAAAAAACGCACATAAAATAGACACATAATGCGAACTCTTATACAGAAGCGAAACACTAAAGCAGTCGATTTTAGATGTTTCAGAAGCAGAATCGTCTGATGATGCTCTGCAAAGAGAATGATCGCTAGGAACTGGGATTTCATAGTCAAGCACAGACTCCTCTCCAGTCGCTCTCTGGTTTATCTAAAACTTCGAGGGAAGGTTTGAGTCAAGCGTGGCACTTGAATACCAGGCAGCTTGGCCAATATCGATGAGAATGGGAGCTTTCGTCCGGCCCTGGAGCAGAAACCGAGTACCATCCTTGCTGGACTGAGGACAGTAGAAATTGTTGATATAATTGATCAGTTGATCACCGTACCAGGGCTGTACGCCATTGGTGCTGTTTGCCTTGACAGGAACCGGGCAATACTCGTCTGGGACAGCGAGTTGCGGGCCGCCATTAAACCATACCTTACGGGAGGCATGGACTAGTGGGGTCCTTCCTGCAGCAATTGAATAGCCCCTTTCATCTTCTGGTAAGTGATAGAAAAATGGACGCCCGATCCAAGACTCGTCCGAGTCAGGCCCCGCGTCCACCCAGGAATGATGCCCATAGACTGTGTCACCTGCCAATGGAAGAGTGAGTCGAGTAGATTCCGGATGAGGGATGCGATACGGGCAAGTAGGAGCCAAGCCAGGATTTATAATCCAAGATTTGTCTCCCCATATGTTATAATGCGCAATAAAATCACCCGATTCTGTCGACCAGGTGAACGCACTGTGCTGATCGAAGGCAGCAATGTATCGTGCCCCCGGAGAAAACGCAATCGTGTGACGTTCAGGAAAGGCTGGCTCGAAATCGGACCGGAAGGGTTGAATGGGAGTGCCGGGAGGAGAGGCAAGGAGCTGGATGTGCGGGTTGCCTGAAATGTATATACGCGCCACGTTGTTGTACCAAGGCTTTCCAGGATCCCGTAGGACTCGTATAATGAAGAATCCACTATCTGAGACTGCAGTTACGACAGGATAGGCACCTATGGGGAGAATGCCAAGTTTCACAGGGAGCGCACGATGGCCATAGATAGCAATGTTCCCATCGACATCCTCAGTGGCAACACGATGATGACCATGGATAAACTCAATCCATGCTGGCGGATTGGGTGGATGGTTCTGGAACTGAGAGATCGTACGTTGATCATCGACATCAGCAATCTCAATAACACCGCTATCAAGCCCAAGTGCAACGTATCGACCATCTCTCGAGAGTGCTGCGCATGTCACAATGCCATTATGCAAAGCCTCGCTCAATGGAATCAAGTGGTTCGAAATCTTGCTGGAAATACCGAAGATCCGAATAGGTTCAGAGAGGTGGCCATATAGTTTATAAAAAGACGATTTGGGTGGGCAGAAAAGAGACATAGATCGATGAAGCAACCATGGATGGACCCATTGCATCGCTGCACATTCTCGGAGGAGTTCAATTACGTTGTGATTCTATTAAAAGCGATATTCAAACAAACATAATATGAACCCGCTCAGACTTACATTGAATTTACCAAATTTTGATGGCATGTCAATGTCCCCTCCCACGTGCAGGAATGTAAGCAAGTTTTGCGTAAGGAAGGAATTGAACTCGTTCTGCAATTCATTGTCATTGGACTCTTGGGAAAAGAGTTTTGCTGGGTCCAGGTGGTGGAGTACATTGTCAATGATGTATTGGATGTGATTGGGTTGATCCTTGTAGGGTTTAAAATCAACCCATTTTCCTTTGTCACTGAGAGGGGGATTAGTGGGTATCCTAAATTCATTCCACTTGCAACAATTATTGAAAATTTGAAGGAGTAGCGGTCCGAGAAAATATCCTTTCTTGTCTTTGATAAAAAATACATTGTCATTTTCATTACCAATTGGACTCCCCGTTATAAATTCTTGCGCTGTGGCATGATAGAATTTAACACCTTTCATATCATCCGAAGGAAGTTCAATGATTGAGCTAATCGGTTCCAATGTGGCTTGGGCCTCATCCTTGGCAATTCCTAAAAGCTGCGACATAGAATATGCACTCAGTGACAGACGTGCCGAACTAATCGTGCCAACCAATAGATGATACATCTTGGCTACATCAGCACGCATTGCAGATGAATCGGGCATATAGGCCCTTCGAAGTATTCGCAAGTACTCCCAGTTGAGACTGGTGGGTGGATCGGAGAGATTGAGCAGGTACTGGAACTCTGTCTGCAGGGTGCGACCATGCCGTGTCTGCGAGATGACTTCGCGAATTCGGATTGACGCCATAACAGGCAATTCACGACAAGCCAAAGTAAAAGCATCGAGATCTTCCTCCGAAGGTTTCCACCGAGATTTCTTGATGCGATCTCGAAGGCCATCCTCCACCATACAACGGATCGTGTGATATTTCTCCTCCTTCGTAATTTTATCCACATCTTCATATGGTATGACAAGGCCCCGTTCCCGAGCTTCATCCCAAGCCGACACAACCAACGACTCAGGACGACAGCTAACGAATACTGCAAAAATGGCTGGCAGCTCTTCGAGGATAAGGACGAGCTCCATCAGACGTTCGAGTGCTTCTAGATCTCCACACTCATCCAAGCCATCTAAGACGATGACGAGGCGATCTTTTCCAGAAGGTAATATCTCCATTAGATTACGCATAGGCTCGATAACAAGAGCCTTCATTTGCTTTTCCAGAGACAGATACTGAGGCAGTTGCAGATCTTGCTGCCGAAGGCACCTGACAAGTGACATCATGAACTCCCTATCAAAGCATGCGAGTTGATGTGCCAGCGTGGAAGGGAACAGCTCAATGGAATCAAGGCCCGTTCCGACCTGGTTTTTATCCCAAAAAAAGGATGCTGCCAGAGTGCCCTGCGCTTTGAGGGCAGATGCAATGCTCATAGATATCGCAGTCTTCCCTGTCCCTGGAGAGCCCCGTAACCAGACAAATCGGGCCTTGGTATCCTTTAGATGATGGAATATGGAATTTTGTGCCTTGACTTGTGTGGTTGGGAGGCATTCGGACTTGCTCTTCACGTAAGTGTGTTCGGCAGGCGCTCGCTTGAGTCTTGAAAGCTCCGCTGAATGCGTGTTAGCAAGCGTGTCCAAAAACACGCACATAAAAACATACATTCCACCGATGCTCGAATTGTCTGCAGGAGGGTTAAAATCGACGCCTCCGTCTGTCGAGTCCTTCAGTCAGCTAACACCCAACGCTCGAAAGAGAAAGCGAGCGGACCGAGACCGAAGTAATAGCCTTATTGATGCATGCCTTCACATCGCTTATATCGTTGGCGATATTTGACGCCATCACCATTCTCTTGAAGAGCCCTCGACGCTTGAGGAATTCAATACGGTTGGTCTGTTCTTCCAATGCACTAGGAAGAAGCTCTGAGATTCTCCGAGTGACCAAGGGAGGAGTATGCAACGTACTCGTGAAACTCTTTGAGCGGAGCAATCAATTCGGGAGGGACAGTTTGACCGGCATACAGTTCGAGTGGCCGCAGGATGGCAGTGTAAGCGTTTCGGACCTCGTCATTAAGGCCCTTAAGACTTTCGTTATTGCTGTCAACGGTCTGTGCGGGTGAGAAAAAGATGTGTCACCCAATCACTGATCGATCATGAAACTAAAATGCCATGCGAACCTCGTAAACTTGGAGCAACGTTAGGAGGAAGTCCAGGATTTGGCTGACGTATGGAATAGGAGATGTCTTGAGAGCAGAGGATGCAGTTTGGAGTAAAAGCTTAGTGGCGCTGAGAACCGTTTTCTTTCGATCACCATCTGGAATGGCCGATGACGAAGATGCTGGTTCCGGGGGAGGAGATGCAACAATAATGTCCATACCTGGGCGCTCTCTCTGTGCATCAAGGATTGCGTCGGGGTCATGAATGGGATATGTTATGGGCGCCGAGTGCGGGTTATCAATACTCCGCCGAGGGTGGAATAGCGGCGGCTCCCAACCACCAAGGGGTGAAAGATCGGGTGTGGTTGGCGTAGACTCTGAGGGGTTCGGTGGGTCTGATAGGTTTGAATGAGGATCTCCGCCAGGATCCCTCATGAAACGGTGTCCTGGAGGCGTCCGTCGTTTCGAATCTCGGGATTTGCTGGGGGAACGCGACGTAGATGGGACACCGGGAGGCTGAAGATTGGGACCTCCCGATCTATCACGCTGAACATAGCTAATGTCGTCATGGATTTGGTCTGTCCGAACTCTTGTGAAATGAATCTGGGGAAGTGAGGAAGTCGAGGGTTGTGATGACTGCGAATCACCAGAAGACGGCGCAAAGGTGGGATGTTGAGACGAGGGTTTTCTCTTGGGAGCCATAACACCAGCGCAGATCGTGATCGATGCAGGAGGTGAGAGGGGAAAAGCCCGGACAGCTTGCTCAACCGCGTCCTACCCGATATAAGTCAAAGGCAGCAGATAGACGCCGATGCAAATCCAATTGGGAGAACAAAGGGTTATTTGATGCTTCCCCTTTTGGAAATAGGACATCTCTAGTCGAAGCAAGGCGCGTGCATTGGCCACGAAATTGTGCAAATGAAGGGTTGCAACAGGATGTGAAGCTGACGTATCTACGATATACTTGATTTAGGTCGGCGATTTCGAATCGTGGCAAAAGGTAAAAGTAGCCTTCATAGGCATGGACCACTATGATACTTGTATTATGAACAATGAGATGTCCGACACTTCCACGGAAACAATCTACAGAACCAGCAGCTCACTTGTCCAGGTACATGCGAACGGGAGCGTTTTGTGGACCCAGAGATTCAACGTGGGAAAATAGAGCCCCATCGTTGACATTTGGCGATTCAGGTGTGTCAAATGCTAGCCAATTATCCTCTGACGTTGATTATTGGATGCGCGCGATCCATTTACATCTTGAACTGAAGCGGAAGATTTGGATTGGCAGGTAGGGTGAGCGCGAAAGTAGGCTCGAGACTCTGGACATGTCGCAATTCATCTAAACTACTCGCACAAGTAAGGCGAAAGGAAGGGTTGGCAGCAGACAGACCTGCCAAGTGAGTGCAAAATTCTGTTGCGGCACTCTTCCTCATTGGGGGGTTGATTATTTGGGCCCTCGGCGAAAGATACAAAACGGGGTGAGGATATCGAACTCTTTTCAGGGTCAGCTGCGGAACGTAAATCGTATATCAAGCTGGACCTACATTAAAGGGAAGCGTGCTCGGAGGAAGGTGCGAGTTGGAAGCCGTGGGATTGGGATGAGTCTGGAGGTCTTCAAGACCTTTGGATGGCGATAGAAGTCTCGGGAGAAGAGAAAGAATTAATTGAACCGTAAAATGGAATATGGCCACATGTCATCACGCCAAGCCTGCTTCATTTGGAGTCCTTCATGAATAGCGATATGGACTCCAGGTGGATATAAGAGTTGAAAGTAGAGTCTGCATCCACGCATCGAGTGCTGCCGAAGGGGAATTGAGGCAATGGAAAGATATATAAGCTGGCGGAATTTCCCCTACCTGAGCCCCACAACATCACCCGCATAGCCCACAACCTGACACACGAATGGACCCACTGGAAACTCAAGGGATTTAGGATATAGCCAACCTGAAGGATCTCATTATCGAGCATCGATGGACATTTCTGCTTGCACTCTCATCGGATGTATCGAGCAACAACGGCAAAAAAAGGAAGTCCGGATATCGGCACCTGCCGCTTCCTCTCTCGTGGTGGCATGGAACGATAATGGCTAGGCAGGTGACCAGCCTCTCTTTAAGGGGAAGAGAGATAATGGCCAACGTAGCTGTTCAGTGTTATTCTTGATAATGCGTTTTCATGGTGTGCTCTCGTTCTGGTATCGTGTCAAGCTCCCGACACATGGATAGCATCTGGGATTATTTCTACCCTGCTTGATTTCCTCAAAACATGATGTCATCTAGCGGCTGATAGCCCGGTCGGGCGCGTCTCAGTGCCACCAGTGTGGAGTTGAACGAGGTCGGTACTAAGCCGGATGTCAGGGGGACATTAAGCCACCTGCGGCCTTCCTAACATGTTGGACTTGGTTGGCTACATAACTAAGTACTCCGCTAAAAAAGGCTTCTACCAGGATTGACAAATCTTTGGGGTGTCGTTGATTTCGACCTTGACCCAGGCGCTTCAGTTTGAGCAACATCTCCAAACATTCTTCGGAAGAGGAAGTGTCCTGCAATTAAAAAGGATTTCGCAGGCCACCATGGAGCCGATAGTGTTGCACGGCACACATACATACATCTGACACACAGGAGCTTTCGATTGCGAACAGGATCCGTTTCGTCATCGATTCAGAGCGAATACGTTTATGCAAATTCATCTGTGCAATCGATGCATCTCACGTCATTAACAAGCTCCGGCCTCCATCGTGCGCGTGGCTGGATGCTAGGACCAAAACGGAACTCAGCCCAGCGCTTCCACGGAGAGGAGGCAGGATGCTACGTCCCCTTTTCTCTTCATAATTTAGGCGCATAAAGTATTCAATTTCACGCATATTAATTCCCCAGCGTCTCTCATTTAATTTGCCCTTTGCGTCCATGGAGTCCCACATGTCACGCCCCATCTGTGTGAACTATTCCCGCCTCGAAGCTGTTGCCGTTCAACGCGCCATGCAGGATCCCTCTGCGTTTCGTATCCTCTTATTCGATGATTGTGTCGTTAAATTCAATGACTCCATGGACCTCCTTAACGAAGCTGATACCCAGGCGTTCGTCTACGCGGCAGCATTTAAAAGCCCTTCGAATGCACCACGCGTTCAAGATGTTTGCGGGTACTTCTGTCGGGGCCATATGTGTCCAGTATCATTTGTGTAATGGAGCCCGTCAACCTTCCAACCAAGGTCGAGTAGGTCAATGACACCACCAATGAGGCTGAGGTGCAGTCCCGCTTATTGTCGGGCGCTTGCTGACACCCTCAGCTGGCTCTTCGAGCTCCCTCCTCCAGCCGGTGCAGAGATTCGTCTAACCGATCGAAGGAACGCACGCTCACACGCAAAGTCGCAAAGTCCCGCCCGTTCGTACGGAAAGCGGCCATCCCATCCCTTTTTCGGCAACTCCAACTCGCCATTTCGCTACACCGACGCGCCTGCCCTAGAGCGACATATAAACACGGTATGATTGAGTGGAAGTAGGTCTTCTAGTCGATTACTGACAGGTTTCACTACAGCGATCATCGTTCGGGTAGGACCCTGCCACTAGGGGCCAAGATCTTGGACGAGCGCGTGGTGATGGCTCAAGGTGACATGAAGCCGCCAAACTTCCTCATCGACCCTCACCCCCTGCAGGCGACCATCATCGATTTTGGCGGTATCAGCGCACTGCCGCATTCGTTTGTCAGCCTTCACACTACCACATTGCCGAGTTTTTGAGTCCGATAACTTTTTGGCGGTGGAAGCAGCTACAGGGTTGTATTGGCCATAACCCAAGAGTTTTTGGTAAGTCATTCCTATGGCTAACGTTAGATTATGAGTTGACGTTGGCATAGACAAGGATGGTTTCCCGGTGCAGAAGAAGGTGACGTCTCGTTGAGTTCAATCGAACGTATTAGACCACCGCTTCAACAATGAGATAATGAAAACCATATAGGCGATGTTGGGGAACAAGCCTCCGTTTGAATCCTTCGGGTGGCTGATCTTCGTTCGAAGCTGAGGACAGTCCCCTCGGCTTCTGTGAGAAGCCTCATACCCGGCCTGGCCCTGACGTTCATGCCTTCCGTGGGCACATCTTAATCCTGGTGAGGGGGGACATTCCAAATGACTCATCGAATCAACTCTGAACGGGACCTGCTCCATATTCATACAGGACCGTTGCCCCAAGTAGAGCGGCTGCATCGCAAGTCTCAAGGACGCCCTCGGCATGTGTATTCACAATCAACTGCCAAATATCACTTAGTGTTCGAGGTCTCTGCCTCGGTGGTGGGGAACGGCCTGATTACTCCACATACTCTTTTACTAGACGGGCCCTCCCTCTAAACAGCTCAGAAAACCACCCCTGTTAGACCACCCCTGACACCACATGCTGCAAGATACCACTGTGGCCGGGATTGCTTGATTCTCGTGGTGGAGTGGGCCGGCCATTCCCAATGGGTCCGAGAAAGCAACACATCTGATGGCCTTTGGCTTCGCGGATGTGCTATCCTGGAATGTTGGCATTTTCTCGCTTGACAGCTTGTAAATTATTCCTCGCTCATCACGCTCGTAAAACTATTTTCTGTGCTTCAACCTACACTTCAATGTCGCATCTATCTTCAAGCTGGTGCTATCACCTCGTCTTCCCCCATCCTCATCTTTTCGGGCAGCTGCATTGCAAGATCATCGCTACTTTCATCCATGTGTACCCAGCACTCCTTGCGGTTGGGTGAACTCACATCATGGAGACTTGAAAGTTACAAATGTAAAGATGCACCTAAAATAGACACATAATGCGAATTCCTATACAAAAGCGAAACACTAAAGCAGTCGATCTTAGGGACTATCAAATGTTTCGGAAGCAGAATCGTCTGATGATGTGTCGCGGGGAGAAGAAATGTCGAATGCGGTGCTGCAAGGAGAATAATCGCTAGGCACTGGGAAAGTGATAGTCAAGCGTGGCACTTGGATACCAGGCTGCTTGGCCAATATCGACGACAATGGGTGCTTTCATCTCACCCTGGAGCAGAAATCGAGTACCATCTTTGCTGGACTGAGGACGGTAGAAATCGTTGATATTATTGATCAGTTGGTCACCGTACCAGGGCTGTACGCCATCGGTGCTGTTTGCCTTGACAGAAACCGGGCGATGCTCTCGTGGGACAGCGAGTTGCGGGCCGCCATTGAACCATACTCCTAGCCCGATAGGGGAAGCACGGACTAGTGGGGTCCTTCCTGCGGCAATTGAATAGCCCCTTCCATGTTTTGGTAAGTGATGGAAAAATGGACGCTTGATCCAAGTCTCGTCCGACTCAGGCCCCGTGTCCACCCAGGAATGATGGCCATAGACTGTGTTGCCTGCCAACGGAAGAGTGAGTCGAGTAGATACCGGATGAGGGATGTGATACGGGCAAGTAGGAGCCAAGCCAGGATTTATAATCCAAGATTTGTCTCCCCGTATGTCATAACGCGCAATAAAATCACCCGATTCTGTCGACCAGGTGAACGCACTGTGCTGATCGAAGGCAGCAATGTATCGTGCCCCCGGAGAAAATGCAACCGTGTGGCGCTCAGGGAAGGCTTGCCCGGAATTGGATTGGAAGGATGGAATGGGAGAGCCGGGAGGAGAGGCAAGGAGCTGGATGTGCGGTTTGCCTAAAATGTATATACGCGCCACGTTGTTGTACCAAGGCCTTCCAGGATCCCGTAGGACTCGTATGATGAAGAATCCACTATCTGAGACTGCAGTTACAACAGGATAGGCACCTATGGGGAGAGTCCCAAGCTTCACAGGAAGCGTACCATGGCTATAGATAGTGATGTTCCCATTGATCTCCTCGGTAGCAACATGATGACTACCGTGGAGAAACTCAATCCATGCTGGTGGATTGGGTGGATCATTCTGGAACTGAGAGATTGGACGCTGATCATCGATATCAGCAATCTCAATAACACCGCTACCAAGCCCGAGTGCAATGTATCGACCATCTCTCGAGAGTGCTGCGCATGTCACAATGCCATTACGGACATCGGGTTCGCGGAATTCAGCTTCATAATTGAACTTTTCATAACCCCACTCATCAACCTTCTTTGGCAACCCATCTAATTTCGCCTCCATAAGCATTCGGGCATTAAGTGAAGCCTTGCTCAATGGAATCAAGTGGTTTGAAATTTTGCTGGAAATACCAAAGATCCGAATAGGTTCAATGAGGTGGCCATAGAGTTTATAAAGAGATGATTTGGACGGGCAGAAAAGAGATATAGATCGATGAAGCAACCATTCACGGACCTCATGCATCGCCGCACATTCTCGGAGGAGTTCAATTACATCACGATTCTATCGAAAGCAATGTCACATCAAATAAACGAAATATGAACCGGCTCAGACTTACATTGAATTCATCGAATCCTGTTGGCACGAAAGAGATCCCATTCATGTGCAGGTATGTAAGGAAGTTTTGTGTAAGGAAGGAATTGAACTCGTTCTGCAATTCATTGTCATTCAACTCTCGTGAAAAGAGTCGTGCAGGGTCCAGGTGGTCGAGTATGTAGTGAATGACGTATCGGATGTGATCAGGTTGAACCCTGAGGGGTTTAAAATCTGCCCATTTTTCTTTGTCACCAAGAGGGGGATCAGTGGGTATCCTAAATTCGTTCCGCTTGCAACAATTATTGAAAAATCGAAGGAGTGGCGGTCCGAGGAGGTATCCCTTCTTGTCGTTGATAAAAAATACTTTGTCATTTTCATTACCAATTGGACTCCCCATTATAAATTCTTGCACTGTGGCGTGATAGAATTTAACACCCTCCATGTCCTTTGAGGGAAGTTCAATGATTGAGCTAATTGGTTCCAATGTGGCAAGGGCCTCATCTTCGGCAATCCCTAAGAGCTGCGACATAGAATACACACTCAGTGACTTATGTGCTGCAATAATGGTGCCAACCAGAAGGCGATACATCTTGACTACATCGGCAGGCATTGCAGATGAATCAGGCATATAGGCTCTTCGAAGTATTCGCAAGTACTCCCAGTTGAGATTGGTGGGTGCATCAGAGAGATTGAGCAGGTACCGGAGCTCCGTCTGTAGGGTGCGACCATGCCGCGTTCGCAAGATGACTTCCCGAATTCGAATTGAGGCCATAACAGGCAATCCACGGCAAGCCAAAGTAAAAGCACGGAGAACTTCCTCCGAAGGCTTCCACCGAGATTTCCTGATACAATCTCGAAGGCCATCCTCCACCATGCAACGGATTGTGTGGTGCTTCTCCTCCTTCGTAATTATATCTACATCTTCACATGGTATGACGAGGCCCCTTTCCCGAGCTTCATCCCAAGCCAACACAACTGACGATTCAGGACGACAGCTGACAAATACTGCAAATGTGGCTGGCAGCTCTTCGAGGATAAGGACAAGCTCCATCAGACGTTCGAGTGCTTCTAGATCCCCACACTCATCCAAGCCATCTAAGACAATGACAAGGCGGTCTTTTCCGGAAGGTAATATCTCCATCAAGTTACGCATAGGCTCGATAACAAGAGCTCTCATTTGCTTTCCCAGGGGCAGATGCTGAGGCAATTGCAGATCTTGCTGCCGAAGACGCCCGACAAGTGACATCATGAACTCCTTGTCAAAGCATGCAAGTTGATGTGCCAGCGTGGAAGGGAACAGCTCAATGGAATCAAGGCCCGTTCCGACCTGGTTTTTATCCCAAAAAAAGGATGCTGCCAGAGTGTTCTGCGCCTTGAGGGTAGACGCGATGCTCTTAGCTATCGCAGTCTTCCCTGTCCCCGGGGAGCCCCGTAACCAAACAAATCGGGTCTTGGTATCCTTCAGATGATGGAGTATGGAATTTTGCGCCTTGACCTGTGTGGTTGGAAGGCATTCGGACTTGCTCTTCACGTAAGTGTGTTCGGCAGGCGCTCGCCTGAGTCTTGATAGCTCCGCTAAAAGCGTGTTAGCAAGGGTGTCCAAAAGCGCGCACATAAAGACATACATTCCACCGATGCTTGAATTGTCTGAATGAGGGTTGAAATAGACGCCTCCGTCTGTCGAGTCCTTCAGTCAGCTAATACCCAACGTTCAACAAAGAAAGCGAGCAGACCGAGACCGAAGTAATAGCCTTATTGATACACGCATTGACATCACTTATATCCTTAGCGATATTTGACGCCGTCACCATTCTCTTGAAGAGCCCTCGACGCTTGAGGGATTCGATACGGTTGATCTGTTCTTCCAATGCACTAGGAAGAAGCTCTGAGATCTTCCGAGTGACCAAGGCAGAAGTATGCAACGTACTAGTGAAATTCTTTGAGTGGAGCAATCAATTGGGGAGGAACAGTTTGACCGGCATACAGTTCAAGTGGCCGCAGAATGGCAGTGTAAGCCTTTTGGACCTCATCATTAAGGCCCTTAAGACTTTCATTATTGCTGTCAACGGTCTGTGCAGGTGAGAAAAAATGTGTCACCCGATCACTGATCGATCACGAAACCAAATTGCTACGCGAACCTCATAAGCTTGGAGCAACGCCAGAAGGAGGTCCAGGATTTGGCTGACGTATGGAATAGGAGATATCTTGAGAGCAGAGGATGCGGTTTGGAGTAGGAGCTTTGTGGCGCCGAGAACCGTTTTCTTTCGATCACCAGCTGGGATGACCGACGACGAAGATGCTGGTTCCGGGGGAGGCGCAACAATGTCCATACCTGGGTACTCTCTCTGTGCGTTGAGGATTGCATCGGGGTCATGAATGGGATATGTTATGGGCGCCGAGCGCGGGTTGTCAATACTCCGCAGAGGGCGGAATAGCGGCGCATCCCAATCACCAAGTGTTGAAAGACCGGTTGTGGTTGGCGTAGACTCTGGGGGATTCAGTGGGTCCAATAGGTTGGAATGAGGATTTCCGCTAGGATCCCTCGTTAAACGGTGTCCTGGGGACGTTCGTCGTTTTGAATCTCGGGATCTGCTGGGGGAATGTGACGTAGATGGGACCTCGGGAGACTGAAGATGGAGACCTCCCAATCTATCACGCTGAACATAGCTGGTGTCGTCATGGATTTGGTCTGTCCGAACTCTTGTGAAACGAATCTGGGGAAGTGAGGAAGTCGAGGGTTGTGATGACTGCGAATCACCAGAAGACGGTGCAACGGTGGGATGTTGAGACGAGGGTTTTCTTTTGGGAGCCATAGCACCAACGTAGATGGTAATCGATGCAGGAGGTGAGGAGAGAGGAAAGCCTGCTCAGCCGCGGCCTACTTGATATGTCAAAAGTAGACACGATGCAAATCCAATTGGCTATCAGATGTTTCCCCTTTTGGAAACAGGACATCGCTATGTGGTCGAAGCAAGGCGCATGCATTGGCCACGAAATTGTGGGAATGAAGGGTTGAGTAGTACCCCCTTGGAAACAGGGCATGAAGATGTATCTACGATAAGGTGCGGTACACTTTGTTTAGCCGGCGATTTCGTTGCAAAAGGGTAAAGGTAGCCTATATAGGCATGGACCACTATGATACTTGTTTAGCGGTTATGAACAAAGAGATGTCCGATTTTTCCACGGAAACAATCTACAGAACCAGCAGCTCACTTGTCGCGCACATCCGGGAGCGTTTTGTGGGCCAGAGATTCAATGTGGAAAATAGAGAGAGCCCTATCGTTGACATTTAGCGATTCAGGTGTCAAATGCTAGCTAATTATCCTGTGATTATTGGATGCGCGCGATCCATTTACACCTTGAACTGAAGAAGCAGCTTTAAATTGACAGGTAGGATGAGCGCGAAAGTAGGCTCGAGACTCTGGACATGTCGCAATCCGTCTGAGCTACTCGCACAAGTAAGGCGAAAGGAAGGGGTGGCAGCAGATAGACCTACCAAGTGGGTGCAAACCCAGACAATTGGTTGGATCTTGCAAGAGATTATCTAACTCCGTCCCGGACAACTTCCCGTACGCTAGACAAATCCATCCCACAGCTGTGAGTGTTGGATGAGCCCACAAAAATATACATTGAGAACATAACCATAACTTGTGAACGCCGCCTGTCGCGGCAAGTACCCCGCTACTCTTCCTTATTGGGGGTTTAGGCTTGTCGATTACTTGGGCCCTCGGCAAAAAATACAAAGCGGTACGAGGATATCGGGCTCCTTTCAGGGTCACCTGCGGAACGTGAATAGTCGATCAAGGACAAGAGATAGACCTAGATTAAAGGGAAGGTACGAGGTGGAAGTAGGCTGAGTTTGGAGCCTTCACGACCTTTGAGAGATACGATGGCGATACATAGAAGTCTCGTGAGGGGGGAAAGGAATTGAGGACCCATGAGAAGAGCTTATTTCTTGCGAGGCCCGCTACGGAGGAGCAGCGGGAATTCCACATTTTCGAGTCATTGCGGAATCCAAAGCATAGAAGATCCAAGAGCTACCAGGAACATAGAGTGTAGCTACACATCATGCATAGGGATCCTCATTTGGAGTCCAACACGGCATTTCCTTCATGAGTGGCGCGATGATTGTTTGCAGCGAAAGATTCCTTCGGCACGATATTGGCTCCAGGTAGATACGAGAATGAAAGTAGAGTCTGCATTCACGCGTAGAGTCCTGCCGAAGGGGAGTTGAGGCAATGGAAAGATAAGGCGGAATTTCCAGGTCACAACCAACACTTGAGCTGGCCTGCCCGAGCCCTGAATGTTACCTGAACAATCTGACGAACGAATGGACCCTCTAGGAACTCAAGGGGTTCAGGGAATAGCCAACCTGAAGGATTTTATTATCGAGCAACAAACGGCGAAAAAAAAAGGGTTGCCTAAGGATTCTCTAGATGTCGGCATTTGCCGCTTCCTCCTCAACAGCATCAATACCCATCTGGTGGTTGCACAAGATCCCGGCGTCTAACCATAATGGCCGACGTAGCTGTCCAGTGAGTATTACTCTTTATAATGCGTTTTCATGGTGTTCAATTTTGCGCTTTCGTTCTGGTATCGTGTCAAGTTCTCAACACATGGATAGCATCTCATCGCGAGAAGGAAATGCACATGGAGGAGGGGTAGACACTGCGGATGCACCGGTACCGAATGAAAAATCCACTACCGTAAGCGCTGGTGCCTCCCAGAATGGTGGTGTAGTCGACGAGTCATCAACATCTGGACCTATCACAAGTGAATCGGTCCCCGCCCTCGAGGGAGGCGCTTTGGACGAGAACGACAGCAATGACCCTTCTAAGAAGCTTGCAGCATCAAGATCGAGACCTCGGTTGGATCTTTCTGCCTTGACTAATGTTCCATCTAGAACCGGAGAACGGAGGAAAGGGAAGAGTATTTTTGGCCAGGTCCTTGGAACACTCAATAAGGCGAAACTCGAGGATAAGGAACGATCAGCTAGCGAGGCGGTGAGTTCCTACCAGTCGTTTTCATACCAAATTTGTTTAACCGCATTTTCTGTCACCCAAAGGCTAAGAAGCGACAATCCATTGAGTTCAGACTGCATGCGAAGCTCTCGCGCGAACAGAGCTATAGCCGCAAAAAAGAGGAAGTCAAGCGTGATCGCATCACAGCGAACCGAAAAGAAGAAGAATTGTCCATAAAAGACAGTATTGTATGTAGCAAGGAGGCCAGCATTTAGTCATTCTCATCGACCTTCTCGCAGGTCAAACACCGATATCCCTTAATCCCAAATCTAGCAAATTTCCTATTAACAACTGACGTGATACCAAGAGAACACCCTTCCCCCAAAGATGAAAGCAGCCGCTTTTCCCCATCTTCCCCCGTAAACGATTCTCCGCCAGATGGACCCTTCCCCCATCCACCCAACACTGCCCATCCACCAGCGATCTACTATCTTCCAAAAATCCTCACTCCTTTGCAACAAGCATTCCTCGCTCGACGACGACGGCAGGCTGAGAAACGGGTTGGAGAGGAACAAACCGAATGGACGAATGAGAAAGAGAAAGGAATGAACGAGGTGAGAGAATTGAGAACGAGAGTCAACGCAGTGCAGAGAGAGTTGAATGAGAATGGGCCGCTTGATGCTGAAGAGAAGATGGAGGACGAAGCCATGGATGGAGTGGATGAGAAGCAAGGTCGTGAACATCCTGATGCTATACAGGAAGACGATACCATTGATGCGGTGGAGTACTGAATTTTATTTATCTATTTTGCAGCAACCCCTTTCTGTCTGATGGTAATCGGCCACGGGAGCCCTCCTCCATCGCGTCTTTGGTCTTCTCGCGAAGAATTTTTTGTACCAGTTCTATTACTTGATGCTTGCAATTTGCTTTCTCGACTTTTTACATAATGTTATCAATTCTCATGTCAGACGCAGTCTTCGAGGTACTTGTCTGAAGACCCTTCGTCGCTCCCGGGGCGGCGTTGGCCGAGTCATTGATCAATTGATACTCCGCAAGATATAATATTTCTAACCCAGTCGAGTGAAAATGAGCCTTGGGAGCCTTTGCACCGCGACCAGCACATCATCTAAAGGACCTGCTTGATTTTCTTTAAAACATGGCGTCTTCTAGCAATTATGATAGCATGATCGAGCGCCTCTCAGAGCCATTGGCATGGAGCGCAAGAACAGAATCGGTAAGCCGGATGTCGGGTGATCTACCAGGCTACATGTATTGGTTGCAACTTCCACTAATGAGATCCTATCCCCCCACTTGCGAAGACATTGCTGGAACCTTTCACGTATGTCGCAGCCACGGGAGGAAAGCAGGTCCGATCGCACCTTATAGACGCTTTCAACCTATGGCTGAACGTACCAGCACCACGAGTAGAGCTCATCTCGAAGGTCGTCAGCATGCTACATAATGCAAGTTTACTGTAAGCCTCTTACCCCTTTTCGCGCGCCCTCTCTCTCCCCTCCCCCTTGCCCCCCTGATTGCTGTGCGGCTTAGGATAGACGACGTTGAGGATAACTCTCAACTACGACGAGGCTCCCCTGTGGCACACAAGATTTACGGAGTGCCGCTCACTATAAACAGTGCAAACTATGTCTACTTCCTCGCATTTCAAGAACTCTTCAAGTTGAAGGTTATCTTGAAGGAAGATGCGGATTTACTCCCTTCGAAGCAAATAGAGTCCATAGATCAGATGGTTACTGGTGCGTCGCTTTGTTTAACTTCTATTCCCTTCCAGCTAACGGAATAAGTCGCCATTGTCAAATGAAGAGGAGCTTTTGAACCTGCATCGTGGTCAGGGACTGGACGTGTTTTGGAGAGACAGCCTCACCTGCCCAACAGAAGAGGAGTACATCCAGATGGTGAACGGAAGTAAGCTTCATCCCCTTCAAAAAAAAAAAAAACTGGTCCCGAACCACTTTAAATCATATTATCAGAAACGGGAGGGCTTCTGCGTATCGGCATCAAACTCTTGATGTTATCGAGCAAGTCGGAAGTGTACGTTGTTGTTTTTCCCCTTCCCCCCCCCGCGCCACCTAATACACTCAACTGAGTTTCTTCTGCCCCACCCACCCCCTTAGGGACTACGTGCCTTTGGTGAATCTGATTGGCATCTACTTTCAAATTCGAGACGATTACATGAATTTACAATCTACTGAAGTCGGTCACCCCCTTCGGTTAACGTCCCTTTTTCTAACATGATAGATCCCCCTCCCCCCCTTGCCTAGTACTCCGATAACAAGGGCTACTGCGAGGACTTGACGGAGGGCAAGTTTTCGTTCCCAGTCGTGCATTCGATCCGAGCAGACGAATCGAACCGGCAAGTCCTCAGTGCGTCATTCTCGACTCTTTCCCCCGACGCACCTTTTTCTAACTAAAAGCTCCATTTATATCTGCAGACGTCCTTCAGAAACGTCCCACAACGCCAACGATCAAGAGGCATATCGTGGGTTACATGGACACAGCGACGCAATCGTTCGCATATACACGTTCCGTTCTGGCTACTCTCGAGAAGCAGGCATATGCCGAGGTTGAGAGGCTGGGAGGAAACAAGAAGTTGGAGAAGATATTGGAACGATTGCATGTGAACGAGGAAACGAAGGCTGAATGAGTACTAGATTTACTTCCAGGATATATAGAGGAACCTGATTTCGAATGTTACAAACTGTCCCATTGTCGTTTCCACCTCCAACAATTTAACAAGGTCGTGAAATGCGTTGCACGCCGAAGAAGGACGTGAGGGTATGATTAATCTTGGCTCGGACAGCAGCGACCGACCAGGGCCGAAGGTTGGCTCGCAAATGAATATCGCAGGTAGAACCTCCATCGAAGATGGCGGGCGCTGTTCTGCAGTCGTTGTCAAACATGCTGCTCGTGTGGTACGCATCATGGCACCGATTTCCCTCCGGAGAGGCATCCCTTCCAGTAAAATCAACCACATAAGATGATGGACCTCCTTGATAGGTGTCACGGGGCAAGTCGCAGCTCAAGGGAATCTGACGCCGCAAAATTGTATGTAGGAGGTAATACATCACTAGGACCTTCCTTTTCGACGGCCGCAAGGTACTCAGCCACGATGGGTCCCACTTCAGTGAATAAAGGTGTCGAAGTGATAGTATGAAACCAGTCTGGAGTTTGAACTTCGGCTTGGTGTTCAAGAATGCTAGCCACGCGCGTCAAGTTGGAGATGAATTGTTGTACATTGTGTTTCTTGTTAAGGAGCTAATAAGAGGGAAAGCAGAATTAAGTGTGTGGGTCCAAGTGAACGTTGGATATAAAGAATGGATGAGAAGCCGAGGAAGGATTGACGTACATCTTCTTCGTCAGGGTCATACGGAATCATATCGTCAGCGAAACCACTGGCATTGCTGCGGGGCGAAGAGGCACTCGATGATGTGCTTGTTTTTGACTAGGGTACCTCAAGGTCATTAGTGCACAATCAGCAGAAAAAACTAATCCCACGTACCCGCTTACTAACTGGCGTCGGCAAGTCAGGAGAGGAAGATCGGGCACGCTTATGATGATGATCCAAGGATGCATGGGCCATGGTCGCACGGTAAGGGACATGATTACCCATATGTTTAATATCAATTCTAGCCGCGAGAATGTTGTTTACTACTTGAAGCGTGATAAGGAGGTGACTTTGACAGTCAAAGGATGTCATGGGTTTTCGGTTCCGCCATTTTAAAGGATCAGGATTTTTGCGTGGAGTGCTCTTGTTCTGTTTGTCTTGTGCACACCGATACCGAAATTGTACGGCTTTTGTACCAGTGTTCTTGCCGAATCCGCCATTGCGAGGCTTTGAATCATGGTATCTACCCGAAGAAGAAGAAAAATTTGTAGCGGGGGATGAGTGAAATCTCGAGCGTTTTGTCGTGTCACGTACCTCCATCTATATCCGAGGATCTCACCGCATTTTTCCCTAATTCTCTCTGCGTAGACCTTGAATGCGGCATATCCTTCTGTGGTAGTTACAGGGTCCATTCCAAGAATGTCATCGACATTCCCCAGAGAGGAAAGTTCGACCAAATATGCATCGGACGACGTCTTTAATGAATAGAAAGGAATTGTATGGTCCAGCGCTTCCTTTTCTTTGGCAGTCTCAAGAGCCGAATAAAAGTCGTTGATGCTAGGAAGGGATTGAATAGTAGTGGCGAGTTCTGCTGCGCGCTTTTCAGCGCGACGAGCTCGATCGCTGTCGAGGCAGGAGATACAGTGGGTCGTGAGACCCTTGCTTGTGACGCGATAATCGTCGAAAGCCTTGGTACGATTACATCTAGAGCAGAATTTGGACTCCATAGTGGAGGGGGGAGGGAACAGATGACGTCGATGTTTTCTTTACAAGTTTGATATACGCTTCGCCCAGAAAACAAACATGCCGGACTCAAATTCAAGGGGAATAAACACTGTCCCTCAGTGGCTATGTCGGAAATTAAGCGCGTGGGAGCATTTTCTCTTCTTCTCAATCCCTCACTGTCCAACCAATCCGCCCCGGAATAAGTATTAGAATTCTTGGGATCGTAGTGTACGCTGAGCGCTGAAGGCCAACCATGACTCACGTTTGTTGATGTCAAGTCTTGTGGCGCTCATGATCTACTCTTGTTTCCTTTCTTGGAAAGTTGGAATACTCACTGCCAAAGTCAGTTGCTCCATTCATAGCGCCTGACTATGAAAGCACGATTTTTTTGGATCCACTCGACTTTCACAATGTTGAGGGAATCTCATTTTTGGTCTTGAAAGACGATCGTTCAACCTCCTTACCCCGTCCATATTACTTCCCACTGCGATGCTGATAATTGACACCGCTCACCACCCTGCGGTTTTGGCTTTTGTTATGATCCCCTCTATTTTAATCTGAGCAAAGCACCAACTCAAATATGACCACATGAACGAACGAAGAGCAACACCGAACTATAGCCCAGTGGGCCGGGAATGTGATTGTGATGTATCATACGCCCGAATGAGCCTCGCTTGATCTTGCCGTGCAGGATCTTCGGTCTGACTGAACGCAAAGCCCCGATTCCGACGCATACGCTGAACCGCTCGAACCTTCTTGATTGCTTTTTGGAACCTAGATATTCAACTCAGATCGGGTTCATGCTCAGGTCCGAGTGAAACCACATACTGCTCTTGTCGAGGTCTATAGTCAGGTATATTCTCTTTCTGCAGTTCTTGGGCGATATGGTAGGACATCGGTCGGTATGTCCGTCTATAGCTAATCAAAGGTTGGTGGGTCAGAGAAAAAGAGGTAGGGCAAGGAGTAATGGACATACTACTTCCAAAAGTAGTCTCGAGCGAGGCAAAAGAAAGGAAACACGATTAAGCTGAACCAGAATACTGGGTCCGTCCACAATCGCGGCACAATGCCAAGGTATTCAGTAGAGAAACCAAGGGCAGGAGCAATTATTTGGTAAAGGGGAAGGAACGCCATCGTAAAGAGCAACGATCCAGGGATGGCTAGAGTTAAGGGAAATTAATGTGTTTGACATGTCGACTGCACACGAATGATGCCTACCAGCGACAGTGTATTTAGTCCACAAGCTGGGGGGCGTAAAATATGCGTTAGTCAACTTGCTTATCAGTGAAGCTCACGCACTCGGAAATCAGTGCCGCCTTCCCAAGCACTGTAATCAGTACGGTCATGTAAAGAATTGTTCCCCATATCCAGTGCCCAGAGTCGAGTCCCGACGGTTCTTTAGAATCACCCCAAAACAGTATGACGGATGCAGTGAATAGCAACTAGAGGTAGGAATTAGAGCAATCATGAGGATGAGGCAGCTGCGTACCAGGCTGTGGTAAAGTGCGTTTCCAACCCACATCCAGAAGGCTGTGCGCGAGAAAAACGTATTCTTCTGACCCAAGTGATACAGCTGCGGATATCGGTCCAAAATCCGAGCAGAGACAAACTGGTCAAAGACGCCAATGACAAGAGGGGGCAATACGGTGAAAACAACATTATACAGAGATAGTGTCCATGACTCGTAGGCAATTTGGCCAGAGAAATTGTTAAAGAATGAATACTGTGAATAATTAGCGCACATCGCATCTTTTCAATAGACTCAATAACGTACCCAGAACTGAGTCATGTAAAGCACAATATTCTTATAGAAAGAGTCTGATTCCGCTCGTTGGCATAATGCCACAATAACGGCAGTGAATGGGCTTACATAAAATTAATTTTGATAATCTCTGATAGCTCCAAGAGCCATGCACGAGGAGTAGCTTCCGCAGGAAACGGAATTGTGATATTGCAACATCAGCAGACCTGGCAGCTTGGAGGCCCTATACACGTTATGTGTGTGCTTGTACCTTTGGGATATGACAGCAGGTTCCGTACCTCTACCCCGGATATGCCGACACCGACATGAGCAGCTTGAATCATGCTCACGTCATTGGCCCCATCACCGATCGCCAACAGAATCGACTTTAGATTCTTTTTCACTAGTTTAACCACTAGAGCTTTTTGAAGAGGTGAGACACGACCTGGGCGCACAAGTCATTAGACAATTGGGGTACAAAGGATAAGATGGGTCCACGCACAACACACGACAGCTTTGCACAGGATAGCCAACTCCAGGAAGATTTTTGAGACGTCCTTCTCCAACGCAAAGGCCAAAGTCTTCCCGTCTGTCAAAGGGCGCAAATAAAATAAGGAAATGACGCGGCCTTACGGGGCACCAACCGATGATCAAGGCTAAGTCTTCTAGTTCACCAAGGTTTCTTTGATTTCCGATGGCATTCAGCCTCTTCGACAAGAATTCCTTAGTATCGTGGGCATTTCCCTCGTTCACAATCACCTGAGGGGCGATCAATGGATGGAAGTGGGAGTTACAGAGAAAGTTCTAACCAAATTCATTGACTCGGTAATGAGGCGGCAGGACAGTCCAATGTTGATGGCAGTTTCCTGACGATCTCCTGTAAGAACCCACACCTGCACCCGAATTAAAACGAAACACCGAGGGGATAAAGGGAGCCATACCTTAATTCCAGCTTGTTGCAGAGTATGGATAGTGTCGGGCACCCCATCCTGTAGTTTATCCTCAATCGCAGACGCGCCTAATAGAAACATATCCTTCTCGATGATCTCCGCCGCTTTATCCAAAGCTTCGCCTCGACCACTGATAGTTGCTGCTGCCTGGTCATATATAGCCGACCAAGTTTGATATTCTTGTTCCGGAATTTCACGCATTGCAAAACACAAAGTGCGAAGACCTTCAGTTGCATAGTCCTATCATAAGGTGTGAATATTGCCTTTCTGTAGGCATCAACAGAGTAGCGTACTTCAAGATGTAGCATTGTGGCTTCCGAATACGGTTGATTTAGACTCAACCGTTCCAATATCACAGTATCAGCACCCTTGCAGTAGATCTTGATGCGGCCATCGGGCCCACGAATGACAGTCGACATGCGCTTACGAGTCGAGTTAAACTCGCACACATTCAAGATCTGATATTCGTATGATTGACCTTGTATCTCAACGAAAACGGATTTGGGCTTGCGAATCTGCAAGCAAAATATCAGCTTCTACTGTGGGAATCGTCAATGTTGACATACATGGAAGCGGTAACCTAGAAGCTCAGCGCCTTGGACAAGAGCGGCTTCATCTGGACTGGACGCCTGGTAGATGATCTTCTCGCCTTTCATTTCCGGGATGACGGTGTGGCAGACAGCAAGAACGGTCAAGAACTCTTTGATGACTTCAGTCTCCTGGCCTGCGTCGGGGCGCGGTGAGAGTTCCTCAACAAGGTTCCCTGAGGCGGGATCAGAGAACGGGTTTCCACCGTCCAGTAAACTTCCCATCTCTGAAAACGTTCGCAACTCCTCTTTAGAATCGTCAGTACGAGTTTCAGCATACTCATGACCTGCTATTGAGCAGCATCGGAATTCCATATGATTCTGAGTGAGAGTGCCAGTTTTGTCCGAAAAGATGTATTCGATCTGTCCGAGCTCCTCGACTAACGATGATGTCCGACAGAGAGCAGGCGTATCAGTTGGCGCATAGTACATGTCTAGATCAGAATTGATAAATTGCGCTTGCTGGAACTTGACAACTTCCATAGTCACGATGAGCCTGAATCGAGCATCCCTTCAATCAAACGCCAACGCCTGTCGTAACTTTACGCACGAAATTGGAATCAAGTTGTTGTACAGGATAATGAAGGTAAGGATGTCTAAGTCGAATTTATCAGCTTGAAGAACTTGGGCGGCGTAGTTTCATACCCTCAACAAAGTTCTTGGCTGTGAACAGGAACATAAGTAAATTCGTACTGCAAAGACCTGTATTGTGTACTTACCTCGATCGGCGATGCTGTCAGATATCAGCAGATACCATTGATCCTTGGAGTGGAACCACTGCACATACAATGAATCCGAGGAGCGGGAGGAATGGACAGAGCCTTACTTACTATCCGGATGCTACTACCGATAGTAGATGCTAGGGATAGTGCTAACAAAGCAAGGAACAAGAAAACAATCTGAACATTAACTTGACGTTCTACGGCAGTCCGCTTGATAGGCGCGGCTCTATTTGAATAAGTAGACAGCTCTAGCTGGAAACCAGCTCAGCTCAGCAAATCACGCACGTTGCATTCCGCATCAGTTTCGTCTCATGCCCAGTAAATACGACAAGCCCATAAACCCAAGACGTGTTACGCAGCTGGGCGCCACGAAGCAGCATCTGATCGGGACTTAATGGAATTTGTCGTTCAGTGGGTCCTGAAAACCCTCCAGCACCAGTTTGCAGTGAAAGGGTCCCGTCGTAGGTGTATAGTGAATTGTTAGGTAGCTCGGAGCGCAAGCGTCCTCGGAGTGCCATGAACATTTGTGGCGTCACAATGTCGAAAGTCTGCGGCGATGCTTGCTTGATCTTCAGATTTGTTTCCCTATGAGTCCAAGTCAAGCTAAAATTTATGAGTTGAATAAGGACATCACTAACCCATCCAAATTGCTTGTTTCAACGTAACATAGCCCTTCGGGCTCGCTAGAGCTAATCAGGATCATATCCGCTGGTATGAACTCATCCGATTCGAGTCGTATGAGATCGCCGACGCGAATGTCGCGCCATTTCCGCACTTCAAACAAACCGGTGAGCTGATTCAGTACGTGAGTTGTTCTGGAATTGAGCTCAGAATCTGATTGGTGTCGTTTCTGTGGGAAAATGAGAAGGTGAATGTGGATCAAAGAGGTTAAATGCTCGTTGCATACTAAATCTTCTTCTGCTTCTTTGAATGCACTGGCGAGAAGGACAAGACCTAGAGGAACTATTGTTGTCCATCGATTAGTTGGTGATACACCCGGTATTTGCTGGATGATGGCTGGAGGGTACATGGTTAGGCCCATAGCTGCAACAGATCATGACAATCCAGTTTACCGGTGAAAAGGAAGAATACATTTGCGTATTTTGAGAATTGTTCTGAGGTTTTAAGTGAGAAATCATGACAATATGGGTGTAGAATCCTCATAAATGTATTCACCAAAAAGGAATTTTGGAACGAAAGTGGCGACATTGTATTTGCTGGTTGAAATGTAGTTGGATGAGTAATCTTCTGCGTCGTTGCGGGAAGCATCATTTAACCAGACATCACGTTCCCCTCGAACAATGTCTTTGGTCCACGGCCATTTAACCTTCCATTTGGGTCGGGACGATTTCGGAGGGGGTGAGGGCTTGGACGGAGCAGTGTTAGGAGGTGGGAGAGTAGGGGCATCATCATCAAACGTCCAGACTTGCGGAAAGCTAGTCCCACTTTCGCCTGCACCAGGAGCACCAGCTGGCAATGCTGCGTTCTTGGTCAAAGGTAGTTCCGGCGCACTGTCCATAAGCGCGTTGTTTCCCTTAAACGCCGAAGCAGTGGAGGGGGGCGCAGAACTGGCTACATCCTCATCCTCATCATCAAAGAATGGATCGAGTTCATATGGATTATTCCGTCGATTGGCCGTTGGAGGATACGACGTTGACGCAGAGGGTTCCACCTGACCATATTGGCCACGACTCGCAGCAGGATTGGCTTTTGAGACTAACGCAGCGAAGTCATCGGCATTCATGCCAGTCCGCGAGGCAAAGTGTGGGTTCAACGGATACGCGGTTGGAATTAGAAGCACTGGTTTGCACGTTAGGACAACAAGACTTGTATACTTGGCGCTTCCGGAAGCAAATTACTCGCTGCAGTCGAACAGCAACAGCTCTAAACAAATGTTCGCACCAATTCACAAGCTCAGCTGGCAAATTTATCATAGGGGCCAGCGCACTAAAAGCGAATGCGCTCCCTTCTATGGGGCGTACGAGGGTCTTTGGGGAGAAGGGGAAGGAATTATATAAACCTGAACAAGCGCCGGGCGCTCATTGGTTCCCAGCTTTGTGTAAATAATTTGCTGTATCTTATTCAGGTCTATAAGTCATTTTTCTCCCTCCCGACAGCCTCGTGTCCTAGAAGATATAAATATTATCAATGAATTGCCTTATTTGGTTACCAAGCTGTTGGAACGGCTTCCAACATCAATCCAACATCACATCAAGCTCGAAGTGGACGACATCACACGAACCGATGCCTATTTAAACGGACTTTCCTTCAAGTACACTCTTTCAAAACACCCCACCTACCTTCACAATGAACGGCACTACGAACAACCCAGTGACGCCGCGTCGCCAGACGTCACTTCTTGAGACGGGTCGCGGTTCCGTCTGGAACCTGCTAGCAGAGTTCCCCAGCCTTATCCGAACAGAACCAGTGAAGTCGAAACCAATGGTAAGACGATCTCTTCATGGTCAATGCCACTGCCATGTTCACCCACATAATTCCAAAAGTTGTCTCCAACAGTGGCTCGTTCACAACCACGCAGACCACCACCACTCCATCCTAAGGCATTGTTTTTGTTCAACGATCGATCGTTTCTGCCGTACCTTGATGATCGCAGTGATAGCGCAGCATCCGCTTTACCGTCCTCTGCGCTGACTATTTCAACATTTGCTGCCACAGCCAATGTTCGGTCAACATGGTATGGCAGGCCTGCTCGAGATTCCATCACGGCAGAAGGAGAGATGTGCCCGACACGTCACGAATCAGTTATAGACCTTTACGCTGAGCCTAGATCACATTGGTCATCCGACTCCGACTCTGACAGCGAAGACGACATCCCACTGTCCCCAACGTTCCTTGGATCATGGAATCAACGCTCTAAAGGCCCTGACATGACTACCAGACCTTCTTCGCCATTCATCGACCCCATCCTCTCCGAAAATATTCGTCCTCCGGCTGCTGGTCGGCGGCCTGGCAGTGTCCTTGCAACGCTCTCACCCCTCTCGAATCCATGGCAATCCAGGGACAAATCTGGAAGTCGATGCGAAACGCGAGACCCCCTTAGACCCATTGGGCTCCAAGCTCTACCCAAGTCGGAGCAGAATCCGGATGGCAGTTGGAAACTCATCGATGCGCATGGCAAAACATACCTAATCCCTCCCCTCTCGTCTCCCTCAAAACCACGCCCTTCGAACCCACCCGCCAAAGGTCCCTCAGCGGGCAAGCGAGCATCGAACCCCCAACTACCCAAACGAAACGCTGCCGAAGACGTCCGTGTTCAGTTTCGCCAGTGGCAAGGATTCACACAAAAATCCCAGACCGCGGCATGAGGAAGCTTATGAAATATCGGACGTGAATGGACTTCATATTCATGGCCTTTACTTGGTATTTATCGTGTCATCGTGGAGCGCTCGTCTGTTGTCTGGTGACTGGAAGTCCGTTCTTTCTTTCTCATTTATTCATGTAGCGAAGATCTCTATATAGTATTTCGTTCTGCTTGTATCCTTTCATCAGAATCCGAATTATAGGATATGTATTTATGCCATGCCCCAGGCAAATGCATCATGCATGACAGTGCGCAAATTAGAATACATCTGTCCTGCTGGGCGCTCCATCAAATAAATCTAATATCCTCCAGCGCCAGGTGCTATATCACCTTCTCGTTTCAATCTCAACAACACCTCCTTAAAACGAGTCAAGTCAGTTGTCCCTGGACCAGCACGAGCAAGGGTCTTCGATTGCGAGTTTTGAAGTTCAATGATATCAGCAATCCGCGACCAAGTTGTCCCAACAGACAACGAAGTCTGAAGATCGGCCAGGAACTGAGCCTCATTCTCCCTGTCCAAAAAAATAATGCGTCCATACAAAGAAAGTCTTGGGATGTACACTAAACAACTCAACTTGTTCTGTTTTATGTTGCGCTCGGTTTTTTGATTGTACTCCTTGTAGAAGTCATCGATCGCTTTTTCGGCGTTACTGATAGTCTCCCGCTTTTTAGCCGCAGAGGCCTCATCTCGACGACGAATCTCCTCTTCTTGACGTTCGCGCCATTTCCTGTCAGCATACTCATCAGCACTTGTCTGCGATGACAAAAAGCAGCCCATGGCATTACCTGATAGGCTCAGGTTCCTCTTCGTCGGCGCCCAGCTGAGGGGTGAATGTGGGAGGCTGGAACGAAGGACGGGATTGCGGCTGAGCAAAGAACGGTGGTTGGAATGATGATGTTGGGGTACCGAACTCGCTCTAAATCGTAGAACCATAAGGTGAGTTTGAAGATGGGGCCTCGCATCAGCTATGCTACTATATTTGTTGGAGCAACGCGTACATTGTCCAAACTCGGGAACTCATTCTCGAAACGTTCTACTTCATCATCACCACCCGTGACTTTCACCTCATAGGTGGAGGCAATGGGCGTGCCAAAGTCGTCAAAATCATTTAGGAATCCATTGCTCGTGCCAGTGTCGGGTACTGATGAAATTTCTCCGTCTAGGTCTTCAAGAGCAGGGAAGCTAGCAGCAGCCTTAGTGAAGTCAATATCACCACCTATAGTGCTCGCATTCCCACTAGAAGAGAAAGCCGACCCCAAAATAGCTTGTTCGCGGGCCAGGAAATCGTCGGTCATGGTTTTATGGTTAAGTGTTGATTGTAGCCGTGGCGAAAGTGTAGTATTCCCACGGTCGGTGGCTCTCCTGACCCGCAAACACTGGTCTAGCCTCAGTAGGAGATATGTAGATACAGACTACAAATGATCTATTGGGTGCAGATGGAGGTGCAATTACACTCTTTAAGAAGCATAGCTTCATACAATTATTTCCCGCAAGAACCCCAACGCCCTTTTAAAGCTTTTGTTGTTCCTGTGAATTTGAGGTCTGGACTTCAACCCACGAAATGCATTCGTTGATGGATTTGTCCGAGACACCGCCAGGTTCATTGTGTATCTCATGATACGCCCCCTGATAACAGGATTGAGAGCATTTTCAGTACTAATGCTGCTTGTGTTCTGCTCAAAACCTCACCGGATAGGAGGAATAATGCTTGACTTTCGCTTTAAGTTTGTCAAAGAATTCCTTAGATGCCCTTGGGGAAGTGCTCTGAATGAATGGGTGTGAATACACATAACAGTGAGATTAGGTGGGAGTTACCCCGTCAGCGTCGCCATGCAGTATCAGAAGCTATTAGGGAGAGCACCAATGAGCGTGTCGGTAATTTCACCAAGATTCATTGACGTACAGGCAAACGTTCTGGCCAGTTCACATAGTGCTTGTCCACAAGGGCAGCTCCCTTCTCGTTGGATGCTGAACATGAGCAAATGTCGAAGGCGTGGTGGGACGTACCTGATTGAGCATGTCTGTGACTCCCTTCAGCGTGCCGAACTTGCGAACAAGGGGGTCATTATCATATTTCTCAACGACTACGGGGTCATGACTCAAATCCTAATACAAACAGGAACGCGAGTGAAGGCAGTGTATCAGTTACCATCGAGGTCGGATGGGCGCATCGGTAGCCTACTGCTGAGTTTAATGGAACAGGCACCTCCTTGTGAGGAAGTAGTTTGGCGAGTTGACCGCCAAGGAAGACCTGCCATACCGGGGAAGGTTTCGTTTCACGAAGCATAGGTGCCGATGCAATAATCCCTTTCAGTTCTCCGAGAGCCTTCACATGCACTGGTGGAGCGCAAACGAAACCTAACACCTCACCGCCTCCCTATTAGCGGTGACGTGAGGGATGAGCCACGAAACTCCTAGCATAGTAGTGCAATTAATACTCGCCATGGAGTGACCCATGAGGAAGAACGGAATACTAGGCCCAAGCCTCTCTCGCTCTCTAAGGATGAAGAAGGATATATCTTCCATCTGGTCCTTCCAACTTGTCTTACTGTAGCTAGCTTTAGTGCTTTTGTTATCCTTGTCCGTAGCAGTTAACCCAAAACCCCGTTGGTCGAAGGCGAAGACAGTGATGCCACGTTCAACCCAGCTAGGGAAGATCGAGGAGTACCGCCCAATGTGTTCGATGAATCCATGGATGAATATTAGATGAGCCTTAGGTCTAACCTGAGCATCAGGTAGGTCATATGTTCTAGTGTAGAAAGGGGAATTATCATGCGAGCCTGTAATCCAAGCTTCCTTGTATGGGGCTGCCATGATGAGAGTGAGTGTTCGAGAGATAATTAAGGGCGTGAGAATGTCGTCTCTCCGGAAGCAAATGGCTTGGATCGATTTCCCGACTCGGTTGCAGCAATGAAGAGTTTCGAGGCTTGTCTGATTGAATGTAAATGAATCATAGGAGTTACTAAAACGCGAATGCCTGCCACGCCCCCCCTCGGGATCCTAATCAGTTTCATGATATGGCCCATCCTAAATGTTTATCGAAACCAATTCCTGGTGCCATCAGTGTGCATCGGGCGTTCTGAAACACAGATACATTGGCTGGTTCTGGACTCGGGACAGCATGAGGCATCGAGTGGAGAATGAATGATTCGGGGGGACGAGAAGGTCGTCAAAGGAGGACCGATCGTATGACTTTCAGCATTAGGCCCGGACCTCTATCGAGACCAAGCTAGCCCAAAACTTCAAGGTTGGGCGGCTTAGAGAATAAATACACCGTGACCAAATCAGCATTGTCAATCACCTCAACGCTGTAAGCGCAGACCACGTCGGAAGTGATGTACTTGAGCCTAGTAACATGCAGGCCTTATGATCCACACCTCCATTATCCGGTAGAGCTCATGGATTTCTTCCAGCCGCCTGCCTTGTGTTTGTCCGGAGGTGGTAGAACATGCCCCCCTGCTACTCGGCCGCTTCGTGGACTCTAAGAAAAATAGTAACGAGACTAGGTGGGCAAATATTGACTTACTGTTTCCACTAAATATTCAGCCTGTATGAGCTCTCGACGATCCATCCCGAAAAGCAGTGGTCTGTGCTCGGCTTGTACATGCTGAAGACAGCTGCGTTAATGTTTAGTGCAGCATGTTAAGGAGAACGAGAGCCTACATCAGATGTTTTCTTGCAAATCGGAGGCGTGGGGGACTTTCTCGCTCCATCCTTCTCTCCTAAGGCTTTGCAGAAATTTGCGTAGACGTAGATGGACAGCATGTAAACATGTGACTAGTGAGACGTTTCCTGGGATGAGGGGCCCTCAAATTTCTCGAGCTCCGAGTCTTGAATGGCGATCGGAGTAGGTAATGTTGCAAACTATTTACAAGTGTTTGCGTCGACAATTTTATCTTCCTTCCGGGTGTTAATTTATCATCACCATCAAGTGTCCCCAACAAACGCACAGAACGGTATTGCAAGGTGCAAATCTGACGCACCACGCAGGGGCCAAACAACTTGTCCGCCCTCCTCAGTCCATTTCTCCTGGTTTCAGAATCAACATGCCAGAAGACGCATGCAATGACTTACAAAAAGGATGGCATCATTTGGTCCCATAGCCACTGAAAAGCCCCTCGAGTCACTGATGTTTGACCCAGCGCAATCGGTAGAGTGCAATGAGCACTAGAAGCAATTTCGTCTACATAGTACATAGTTCGGTTTCTTTACCTTATTCGCGTCGCACAAGCAGGCCCGTGGACGCACAGCACCTCAGCGGATTACACGCCTCACCAAGAGCTTGTTCTGGAACGCCTGGCTGCTCGGGCTTTACGTCCCCGATGTCTTAAGAACATTCAATGCAATGCTAATTCCATATCATGGCTCTTCCTCGCATCTACGCCAGGGACGTTAGAGCTCTGGGCGTCAGCCACTCAGTATACTCGGGGCTGGCCCATTCTCTCCAGTAAATCTCTTCTTGTTGTCTCGTACAGGTGGCTCGTGATCCCCATCCCTATGGTGTAGCTTACATTTGATATCAGCATCATAGGTCCCAGCTGCTAGAATGTGCATTGGGTGGTCATTCGACGCTCACCCGTCTGAGGACATACGACGCTACTTCAGAGCCACTTTCTACACCTCATGACCTTATTTTATTCGCTATTCCAGCCGGAAGTGTTAACGCTTGCTAAAATGGATGGTGCAACATACTCCCTCACTTCCAAAGTCGATGTTGCTGTAAGATCTCATACGTATGTACTTGCCACGGGTGCACCGTAGTTGCCGGGAGATAATGGCCTCAGGAGTGTCGTTTCACCCATTTGCTGTTTTAAGATTAGTCTGGGCTGCATCCAGGCTTAAAAGCGATCTATGTCCATGTCTGAATGACTTCGCATCGGTGATCTATCGGTTCGAACTATGCGTGGGTAAAAAACCCGTCGTTTTGAACGAGATGGTACCAAGTGGCTTTGTCATGTCAGTCTTTCACGCTCTTCAACGTTAGTCTTTCTGCTCCTAGATGTTCTCAAGGATACTTTCAAGTGTCCCAGGTGGCTTGAGGTAGTCCCAGGGGTCTGGATTGGCATCATCAATCTTCTCGCGTCGAACTGAGCAGAGCTGAATTTAAATGAAATGACCTGCCAGTTGTTGCAACTTCGCTTGCTGTCCTCCTGCCACATCCCCAGTTGGGACTGTAGCCAGTCGTCCAGGCTGGTGTGTACGACGTCCCCATTGCGTGGCTGTACGGGAAGATCCTTATCCGGTGCCTCGAATTTGGCTTTCCTGACTGTGGCTGGATTCCCCCGCGATGATACTTATACGATGACTCGCCGTGATATTACATGTCTATCTTGTAAATAATCATGGGGTCGGTCATCTGTCGCGCGGCCATGTAGGTGGTCAAGAAGTGAAGGGGCTGTCGCGGGTAGCACTGAAGAATTACGGCCAGGAAAATTTAGTGACCGCAGAGACCATCACAACATATGCGTGTATCATATATGTATTGTTGACGCGCTTCTTTATTGTCATTATTGATGGAATACGTAATTGCGTGAAGGTGCGGCTATTCAGCAGGAGCGTGCTGGTTGGTGTGGTCGCGTCGGGTTTCTGCAGTCCTCTGGGTTTATACGTTACAGCCACGGTTGTCAGCGCTTCATCAGGCACCATTACATAAAATCTGCAGTGGGCAAAGTATCTAAGATACAATAAGCCATACATAATAGCGTACATGATGTCGTGGGTACAGTGGATCGTGCGATAGCTCAAGATGGTGGACTCGTAAAGCAATAACGAATACGTTGAATATGAATCGGGATAAAGTATAGTGTTGCAAAGATCCATAACATGACACGGGGTTACTTTCGCGGTGATGAAGACGGAGAGGACCGCTCCAGGAGTGGACGTTCAAGCCTAAAACGGAGCCGTTCCACTTCACGTTCCAGTCTATCATCAGGACGCATGAGTAATCGTCATCTCCAGAAATCTCTGTCACTTACGCAAGAACCTTCTGCCGCTGCTCGGATGCATCGAGCTCAGCTTGACGCTTGGCGACTTGGAGTTCGCTTTCAGAAGATTGCTGAAGGGCATGTCGGTCCAGGTTACGAAAGCACGCGAAGACCGCGTACACTCACAAGTTCATCAGACGAGCTTCTCAGTTTTTCTAGCTTCATCTCATAATCCTTCACGTCCGCTTCCAGCCTAGCACGAGCCCGCTCGCTTTCGCTAAGTTGAAATTGGGTGTTGCGGGCGCTTGTCCCCGCATCGCGGAAGGCTCGGTCAGACTCGGCCTTCTCTTTGAGTTCTTGGTTGAGCTTGTTAGTGAGCTCCTCCACTCGGACCTCCAGTCGCTTAACGTGGGGTGAAGACTTTGGTGATGTAGCATAAGCCCTGGTCTCCTGATCAACGACACGAAGCTTGAGTTCCTTGACCTGTTTCTCCAAGTCTGCCTGGAAAAAGTGGTCACAGGGCGTTGCACGCTCATAGAACGGGAATCACTTGCATTGCGTCGATCAAGTTCGGCATTTTCGTGCCGCACTTTATTTAACTGACTCTGGCAGTCAATGGCATGTGCTTCTGCTTTCTTTAGGCGCTCCGTAGCCAACGTCACGCGATCCCTTTGAGCATCAAGGGAGCTTCGAAGGTCCTGCTTCTCAAGGTGCAAAGCTTGTAGGACGCGATCGGACGATAACTTATCGGACTGAGAAGAACCTGGATGGCGATTCTGTATTTTAGCTTTTCTCATTGGTGAATATTACGCACCTTGTGCAATGTCATTGAGTCGAGACTCAAGGTTACGCCTTGCTTTCTGTAATGCTGTACGATCAGCTTCAGCCTCGTCAAGCACACCTCGCAACTCTCGAACTTGTGATAGCAAGTTCACAATCTGAGATTGCTGCTCTGATTGGACACCTGTCGCTGACTCATAAGCGGATGTCAAATCCGAAATCTTGCTCTCCAGGCGTTCTTTCTCCTTCTTCCACGCGCCACTAGAATAGACTTCGTCATCGTACTGAAGATGAAGTTGGTCGAGTTCAGCTCGAGTCTTGCGGCTTTCATCACGCAATCGGCTGATGGTGTCCCGCTGAGATTGTAGCTCTAGATATGCCCGTGAGTCATAAAAGGAACGCATGTCCATAGATCGTTACCTTCACTCAGTAACGCAAGCTCGCCTGTGGCCGGGATATTAGGTCCTTCGGCAGATGTAAAGCACCACATCGCTCACCCTGGTATTTCTTCCGCGTCTGATCAATCATGACGTCTCTCTCAGCAACATCCTGAATAATCAAAAAATCGGAATGCAGCAAATCGCGGGCCCGTAGAGCTTCTGACCTTCTTGTGTCGCTCCTTTTCGTCATCAAGTTGCTCTGCTTAATCGTCGACGAAGTATCTCGGTTTCGGATGCACCACGGTTCCGTTATCGATTCTGCTCTCAAGATCTCTAGCACGTCCTTCGGCTAGTCGCAGCTGCTCTTGTAGGGTTTTCTGGTCTGCGCGAGTCTCCTTCAAGGCAAGGTCCATGTCCTGGAGGCTCTTCCGGACTAGGTCATGGATTCATATCTCGCATGGTTCGCAGTGGTTCCACCACTTACTGTTGGCTTCGCTTCTGATAGCTTTTTGCT